TCTAATATTGTTTTGATCATATTTTTATTTTAAGAAATAAACTGACTAGATTTATAAATCTAGAGACATTTAAGTAAAGCTTATTACATTGCCATGTTTTTTTTGTTTATATTTGCATGTCGCAATTAAGACTACCATCTGTCCGGATTTTTTAAATTGAATATTATATAATAAATGTACATATTGATTTAAATACCATACCACTAAGTGAGTAATGGTACCATTTCGTGACTAAAATGTCCGTTTTATTTCGAAATGTCAGGATTTTTGTAATTCCTAAATGGTAACCCTAGTCGCATTACACTTGTTATTAAAAAAAACAGACTATCATAAAGTTCGAATCCCAGCGGAGGTTGGATTCTTTTATTAATGATTTAAAAAAGGATCACTTGCATTTTTCATGAAACCACACCAATTTTTTCTACAGCATAATATTCTTTTATTAAAAAAATGCTATAATAAGTAACTTACCGTAATCTTTTTGGTTTATAGAAAAGTGTACAACTCCCTTCGGCCATAGCGTACATGAAAAAACATTCAAACAATAAAATAGGACGACAAGTACATACAAGCTCATATTTCCGTACAGCAACATAAAAAAACAGTTCTTTCGATTCGGCAGTAAATATCGCAATGTTATGACTGCATAAATATTAAAAATTCAATCGAGCGAGTCAGCAACGATTCTCTCATAAATTAGACGAGAACAGAAGGTAACCTACAAAGTGCGCTCGAGAAACCGACACATAGACAGCTCAAAGACTCGATAATAAATAAATAAATATTTCTAACACTCACACCGATTAGTCTAGCTTTATATATATATATATATGTGTGTGTGTGTGTGTGTGTGATGCGCGCGCAGCTCTTCCAGATAAGCATGAAAGTTGGAGGGTAACTCGGCGAAGGCTGAAACGCTACGAGCGTCACACGCACATATATATAAGTATATATAAATGGGTGATGCGTACGCCGCTCCATTTCCCTATGCCTTCATCATCATCATCATCAGCCTATTAATGTCCCCACAGCTCGGGCACAGGCCTTCCCTATGGATGGGAGATTGGGCCATGACCCACCACGCGGGCCCAGTGCGGATTGGTGGGTGTTAACGACTGTATATGCAGCCGGGACCAACGGCTTAACGTGCCTTCCGAAGCACGGAGGAGCTTGAGATAGTAAATTTTTTGTCACCCATCCAATGACCGACCGACTGCGGAAGTTGCTTAACTTCAACGTTTGCAACCGAACGCACTAACCACCTGCGCCATCGAGCTCCTCGGGATGATCCCTATGCCTTATGCACCGCCAAATGTTAGGTTATTTAAGAAAACAAGTTTCACTTCCGATGTGTGGTCCGTGCACTTTTTTTTTATTTGTAATGTAACAATAACATTCATAAGTTATATAATATTTTAAGTTTGAATTCCCGTTCTTTCTGTTTCATTCTCCACAATAAATCATAGAACTAGATACAATGCCACTGCCGTGATAGATTTTGTGCATTAGCCAATGTTGTAAATCCAATGCAAAGTAGGCATCCTAAATGCATGAGATTACCTTCTGTACTTCCTATTTTGTGTTCCGTGTTCATGAATATCAAGAATATCGAAATACAAGGAAACAAATAAGTAGATACAAAAATACTTACATAAACCTACGTAGAGTCGACATTAAATAAAATAATACACTTTTATTGACGTGACAACGTCTTAAATTAGGTTGCGGCTGGGAGTCACTTATGAAAAAGTGTAACGCTCGGTAACGTTACGATGAGTCTCTCGTGTTAAGTTTAAGTTTACATGTACAATGTTTTAGTAAACAAAATATATTTCTATAGTTAAAATTTGTGCAATTCTTATTTTCATTCAATTCCTTGTTCCTATTGTGCAATTTAATTATATTCATATCAATAAATATTCTACCGAGAAAAAGACGTTGTCACGTAAAATCTTCGCCCGTAAAACCGACTTTACAGGCAACCATTTTTTTTATGTTAACAAGCTGCTCCCCGTACACATTGAATTATTAAACCTAGGTATTAAATATAGGCGGGGCAAGCGCGCCACAGTTATTTGTGAGAAAATGCTCATAACTTGACCAAAACTTGGTTTTGATGGGGTTGTTGCTCTCAGCTGTGAGCGCTGACTATGGGCGTATTCCGTAATATATACCGGTATATTGGCCAGTGCTAATGACGTCATGAATCGACGCTATACTGGTGAATTGTTCCGAAATATATTGGTCAGTGCACTGACGTCATAAATCGACGAAATATTAAAAATAGTGCGATTATAGGCGATTGTTTATTCACCTCATCAATTAAAAGGAATTATTTTTGTTCGGATGCCGTTATTGTTCTTTTAAATAAAAAAGAATTAAAATTCGAATGCATCTCACGTACGCTCGGTCATACGTCATATTCGTTTTCCCGGTAAAAATATGGTAGCATACCAGTACAATATGGCGTCGGATTCGTGACGTCATTACCACTGGCCAGTATACTGATGTATATTTCGGAACAAACCCTTGTTCGATTGTTTGATGTCGCTTCGTTTTGGACCGCTAGGACAATCCTTGAGTATGTACCATTACGTGATAAATGTATCATATAACTTGCACGTCGCTTGGCATATTCGTATTTGCTATTTGTAAATAAACTTGATAACAGACTGGCCTTATAATTTTTTATAATTGATGAAAAGAACAGACCGATGACAAGTTTAAAAATGACTATAGCCACGTGAAAGTGCCGGCATTACATAATCATATAATACAATGCTCTTATTTGAAAAAAAATCTTAACAGACTTTTAAAAATGAGGTTACCATTTAATCAGTATATATTTGGTATTTATACAGTTAAGCAGTTGTACAAAACATTGGGACACCGCTGCAGGATGATCACTGCCGGATTTAGGGAAGGGGCCCCCACAATAGAGACTTCGGAAAAAAAATCTTTCAAATTCCCACTAGTAAACATCTTTTCCTTTGATATTTTTTTTGCTCTTATACCTTTACCTACAGCCTACAGTACTTTGTACATCTAACATACATGATTATTTGATTATATTAATCTCAGTCCGAATTAAAGGCAGGGCAGGTGGGGCTGTGGCCCAGGGGCCTCCACATCAGCTTAAGAAATAACAAAATTTCGATGGGTCAACAAGCATGCAAATCCTAAGTGACCCGGGGCCTCCACAACAGGATAAAAGATAACAAAATTTCGATGGGTTAACAAGCATACAAATCCTAAGTGGCCCGGGGCCTTAACAAACCTAAATCCGGCCCTGAGGATGATCCCTGTCATGGTAAAAGGACGTCAAACTTCCAAGGTTGAAATATATCGGAGATATTGAACTGTTGTGCTGTTAAAATACATCACAGATATTTAACTCTTGCAGTATATCTCTACATATATTTGCTTCGTGTGGTGTTGAAATACATCACAGATTTTGGCCTTTTGTGGTGTTGAAATACATCACAAATATTTAACTGTTGTGCTGTTAAAATATATCACAGATATTTAACTCTTGCAGTATTGAAATACACCGCAGATATTTGCCTCTTGTGTTGTTAAAATACATCAAAGATATTTAACTGTTGTGCTTTTTCATCACAGATATTTAACTCTTGTGATGGTGAGATACATCACAGATATTTGCCTCTTGTAGTGTTGAAATACATCACAAATATTTAACTATTGTGCTGTTTAAATATATTACAGATATTTAACATTTAACTCTGGCAATGTTAAAATACACCAGAGATATTTAAGTCTTGTGGTGAGGAGATAAATCACAGATATTTTACTCTTGCAGTATTGAAATACATCACAGATATTTAACTGTTGTGCTGTTAGAATACATCACAGATATTGAACTCTTGTGGTGATGAGAGGTACATCGCAGATATTTGCCTCTTGTGGTGTTGAAATACATAAAAGATATTTCACTGTTGTGCTGTTAAAATACATCACAGATATTTAACTATTGTGCAGTTTAAATATATTACAGATATTTAACTCTTGCAATATTGAAATAAACCAGAGATATTTAAGTCTTGTGGTGATGAGATAAATCACAGATATTTAACTCTTGCAGTATTAAAATACATCACAGATTTAACTGTTGTGCTGATGAGATACATCACAGATATTTCCCTCTTGTGTTGTTGAAATACATCAAAAATCATTGTTGTGCCGTTTAAATACATCACAGATATTTAACTCTTGCAGTTTTAAAATACACCACAGATATTTACGTCTTGTGGTAATGAGATACACCACAGATATTTGCCTTTTGTGATATTGAAAAACATCACAAACATCGGCTTAAATATTGTACTTATACATATACAGACAGACCTAGTTTCAATAACAGTCAAATAAATTATAATGCAAAAAGATTGTCTTACCCTTAAAACCCATACCTAATAAAGCGTATCACAAAATTATTTCTTGAAATCTAAAAACATCAGTTGTCGCTTGTAGATTATTCGATTCAAATTAAAAAAAATATATTTAATGAGTGCTTTGTTCAATAACAACATAATTTTCACTTTCCATCAGTAACTACAGAATCTTTTTTCAGATGCAATCAACAGTTAACTGCGATTTTTTCTCTGATATAATAAGTATTGTATATGCAATCTTTAAACATATCACTGAATATGCATTAGATAAAACTTTTGGCTTACAAAGCCATTGATATAATTTCATTGGTTAATAGCAATAGAAAAGGCTATTACATAGCATAATTACTTTAACATTTTAAATGTAATTTGTATAGCACATATCGCACATAATTTTATATAAATTGATAAACTTACTATATCGAAAAAAATATTAAATATTCATTATTTCATAATGTTAATAAAAATACCGTTTAATGGCTAACAAACGTTTTAAAAACGTACTATATAAAAAAAATATTAGTCTAGCAACACTTAACCTAGTGACAGTCTTCTTTCTTCAGGTACATTAAAATAAAAGTCAAATATTGTTCTTCGCACATTCTTTAGTCAGAAATCACTTAACACTAAGCAAACATTATTACAATGTTACATTATAATGTAATTAATTAAAGTAGAAAGATTTTTCCAAAAAAATTGGAAAGCTTTTTTTTGCAGTTGACGTTAAGAAATTTTAGAATGGAAAAATCTGTCTACTTTATTTTTTAATTTAAACTAAAATTCAGAGTACAGATATTAAATCTTAGGACAGCTTTATATTAACTTTGGTAGAAGAGAAGACGGTTAACTCAATATAGACCTTTCTCACTTCTGGAATCGCTTTTGAATGGCATTCAGAGTCATTACACAATTTACAGAAGAAATAGATTCCAAAAGCACATTTTGGTGAATTACATAAATTTTCTAATATTAGGTTTAGCTTCAAATTAAAGCTGGTTTTGATTAGTTATAGTTAGGGTAGAAATTCTAAACTAAAATAATACTGCCTTATTTGAAAACATAGACTAAAGTTAATCTTGGTATATACCAAATGTTGTCTCCGTTTCCTTTTTAGAAATTTTTAGATAACAAAAGTGCCAATTTTAATCCAGTTTTATCTTTAGTCCGGGTTTTGTGATAAGGGGGTTAATATTTTCGTGATTATGTAGCTCTTCGAAAGAAACTATATAAATTTTGAGTTTAATAACAAAAACAATTCACCAAAACATGCTAAGATTTGAATGGTGTTTTGGTTAGCTGTGGTTTGGTCCCTAATAAATAAATACATCTGTCACTGTACGATTGTAAAAGCCATTTCTTTGAAATTCTATCTTGATTTATTATATACTACAAAGTATTAAGTTTAAATATATTGTGAACATAAAATAAGATTTGCAATAGGGTATTTGACAATGTTTTAGAAAACTATCTCACGTTGTTTACTTATGCTTATGGAGTCCTTAAAAAAGGATATTTTTAATTCTGTTCTGTAAAAAAAAACTTCTTTCCTATTCTATTTTTTGTAAAGGCTGGCTGTTGTCTGCTTGGACAATTCTGCCAATGTTAGGGTTGAGCTCTATAGATGGTCAATTTTTTTTTGCAGATTTACGCATCTTGCATTATTGGCCGGCAAAAAAAAAGTTAATAGTGTGTGACGTCACACGAGTGACATTAAAATGTCAAACGATACAATGTAATGTCACTTTGACCGGAAGTTTACTAGCGTGTGACGTCATTCTGTTCTTGGCCAATCCCAGGCGTTTTCGGGAACGTGATCATAGGGCAAAAAAATCATTTCTATTTAATGGTTTTATAGAAAAGTTAATTTGGAACATTGACAAACCTTACCAATATGTATGAAACGAATTTGTAGAATACAACGATTACAGGTATATCTGTACTCTGAATATATCATATTTCTCTTTACATATAAACAAAATTGAACCGACACAGACTTTGGGATAGCGATGAAATGATTGGTCCGTACCCCTGAGCGTTGTCATACAGTTCGAATAGAGGGGCAGCGACCAACTTATAGTTTTTGGGCACAGCAAACAGAGCCCTGTCTTGAAGTTGCACAAGGAACAAACGTTTATGCTCTTTCGGTTTGGTTATGTGTGGTGGAATGTACGGATACTGGGGTGGTTCAAAGTTGGGTCTCCACCAGTTACCTAGAAAGTAGGGAAAGTTGTGTTATTGTACATGATATTGTGGATTCTCTAACTAACAAGAGCATTAGCATTATAATAGAATCACACTTATATTATAAAGGCGAAAGTTTGTGAGTGTGAGTATGTTTGCTACTTCTTCATGTCTAAACGGCTGGAGCAATTTTAATAAAATTTGGTATGGAGTTACCTGACACCCTGGATTAATACATAAGCTACATTTTACAGTGGGAATATATGGCTAATATACCGCAGGCCACAGCTAGTGAATGAATAAATATCCTTTATCGCACATAAGAGTTTTACAGGAATACAAGACACAAAAGAAAGCCTTATTGCTAAGGTAGCAATCTCTTCCAGGTTGGGGAGAGTTTAGCAATAGGACTTTGTTGACCTAATTATTTATTATTTCTATATAATATGCATTCATCAATCAGTTGTTGTATTTTTAATCTAAATACAAAGTATTTAGTTCAAAATAGCTTTTTTGGGGGACATAATTTGACCAGTGCAAGTTATCTGTGGTACCCACAAATGCAAATGCAGAATCCATAACCAACAGCTTGACATGTGGGACTCGAGATATTTTAATAAGCATTTGCGCCAACCGATCTTTGCTTAACCTTTTAAATGGAAGAAAGAGCTTATCATAATAAATATAATTATGAAATAAGTCAAAGTTTTACTGGGGATACCTATTGTGTGAAATAATTCAAAAGATACATACCAATAGTATCTTCAATGAGCCAGTCTTGTTTGACGCCGTCTTGTCTGCCCAGAGTCTCAGTCAATAGCCTTTTGAGGCCTTCAATTTCATCCTATTTGAAAAACAGACCTTGTGAAGATAAACTCAAAAGTATTTCTTAACCATGACAAGCTTATCACAATATTCTAGCATCATCCTTGACTTTGTAATTTAAAAATATATTGATATGTACAGATAAATTTCAAGTAACTGAACTTTCCTGAATTATTTGTTTTTTTTTTTAAAGTAATAAATGAGCGATGTTATGCAGAAAGCGAGCAGGCATTTTTTGGGATCAAAGGGAATCAAACTTAAACATGAGTTCATATATTTTTTTTTCTCTTGTTCCAAAAATATCTGCTGATCGCTTTCTGCTTAATAACGCTCAATGAATCATGCTTTGTACGTGCATTTTTTATCCAGAGGGATGATTTAAGAAAGATAGATAGCAGGATTTAAGTAGAAGAGTTTTACCTTTTAAACAAAAAAATATACTGTAAGCTAGCAGAATTGCAGTGTAACATTGTAAATCAAGAAAGGGTCAACTAAAGCTAGTAATGAAATGAAATTAGAATTAATCACGATACCTCGCCAGGATTAAGCTCCCCACCAGGTAGCTTGAAGAACGCCGTACCAAGCTGCAATAGCAGGACGTGTGGTAAGCCATGTTCGTGTACCAGTAGTACACCTTCAACAGATCTACGACAAAAGATTATTTGTTAGGTATACAAAATTAAGAGTATGTTTCACTGATACCTTATATAGTTGCAGATATTTGTCTGTGATAAACTGCTTTTAGTTGAAACATCTTATACAAACAGTCAGAGGTCAAGTTACCCAAAACTTATCAAATTTCTCCCTTATTAACTGAGTGTTGTTACGCAGAAAGAGACCAGCTGGTGTTTTTGGAGCAAGTGAAAACTTGTTCCGTGATGGCATATTCAAGTTTGATTCTGTTTATCATAAAAATGGCCACTGGTCGCTTTCTGCTTAACACCCCTTGTAATGTATTCAAAACATCACATGAGTTTTGTTTGTTTGAAGAGAGAGATAGAAGGCCTCTGTTTAGGTTGTTTCACTGTTTTCGTTTAACAAATAGATTATTGCTGGTCCAAGCCTTTTTTTTTATTTTCTGTGGCTAACAAGGCTTTATCTAGACTGATTCCTTTGCTTACCTTTTGAAAGGAACGAAAATTTTATTTAATATTTAAGATACCTAATTCTTGTGATTTTCAATGATTTTTAATGGGAAGTATTTTTTTAAATTCGAAGTGTCTTCCTTTAAATATTTTAGTAATTGAGATGTGGATTTGGTTTAAGCAGGAGACATACATTTGCCGTGGAGATGGCTGTCGGCCTGTTCATATAATTTCTTCTAAAAACAGTGAGAACCTTCAAAATTTCTTTTGTTTTGTGCCATGTGTTAATCTGCGGACTGTTATTTTCAGCCGTAGGCATGAAATAACCCTTCATCATTACACACTCAACCATCAACATTATCAATGTATCTATTGGGTTAATACCTAAATAGTTTGTGATAACTTGTTGTGGAACAAGAAAAGCAGTTTTCAAAGTGATCATGTTCTTCAACTGTAAAAGTGAAGTACTTACATTTCTTTTGAGATTGGTTATTGATTCAGCAGAGATGCCAACATTACTTTTGTTAAAAAGTTATTTGTAACACATATTATATACAAAAAATGCTTACAAAATTTACACTTGTGGCAATTGAGAGATTGCATACATTTATATCTTCAATATATCCTAGTGTTTAAATCTATAAGCATTCACACTTATAACTCAACGTTATGAGCATTATATTAATGTATTGATATCTACTTTGCTTTCATAACTTCGGGAAGTATTTGCCAAAAATACTAGGCATACAATAAAATTATTATTCTAAACAAACTCTAGTCCTACATGACGTGTGCCAACTAATTAGTTAATGAGATCCTCGTGGTATTTTACTAATAAAAGACGGAATAATTTCATAACCTTACCTTCTCATACCAATTTTTGCAAACTCGTCCCTCATTCTCTGAAATCGTGCGGGAACCGAAGCATCCTTCTCGAACAGAGACTCTTTGGTGCCAAATGTGTAATTTGTTAGAGGATACAAGTTTATGGTCCTGTTTAGAGTCAAACTTGAGTTGTTTTGGCTATTTTGATGTTGTATACCGGGCCTGACTGGCCAAGGTTTATTCCCGGGCTGTCCTTGCACTGCAGCCATTTTTCAATATATTTGCACACACAGCACCACAAATTATTAAAAGTAACTATTCGATTTTATAGAAATTTGCAATGATTTTAATTGTAAAACAACCGGCAGTAGACGCGAGCGAACCAAATGAAGCGTCGTCGAAGCGGCCATTAATAGAATTGCCTATGTAAAAATTAAATATACCCTTTTTCCTTAAAATTAATTTACCCAGATTTACTAAAAATTATTACAAGATAGGTAGTACTATTATCCATCGCAACTATCATAATGAAGATCGATAGCTTTCTCGACGGTTTGTTCGGTATCTTCGCGTTTGGCTCTATCAACACTTAAAATCAGGGGGGCAGAGTCATTTGCCTACCTCGCTATAAAAAAAAACAATCTTTACAAAATTTATAAGGAGGAAAGATTTTATTGTTTGTATTGTATTTTAGTTAACGAGCGACTCCTATTATAATATAATTTAAATAGTTTATTTTTTAATAAATAATTCTTTAAATGGCTGTGCATATTACGCATGCATTGAAAAAAGCGTAATTAAATAAAATAATCCATAAAATGTAGGTATAAATATGGATAAAATTGTTGAAATAAATTTTAAAAACCTACTTGACAGCTAAGCAGCAAAAATATTAGTTGATACTCATAAAATACAATTGATAACCTAATGTAACCTTTAGGTACAATACAATAAATAGAAAATAAAATAAAAATAACTTTAAAACTACCGAATGCATAAAATTTAAATATAAATTACTTTAACCCACTTACAAATATGTAATTATTAATTCGAAAGTTTCACAATTTTATTTATTTATGTGAGTTTTTTACGATAATTTACATATTAATAGAAAATATAAAAATAAAAATGCCGAAGGATTTAGAGAAGTTTATAAAAATTTGATCGGAATACATCGGGCGCCGCCATAACGAAGACGATCAATCGAGACGACTTTTACTTTCAGACTGAGTTAGGGTCTGATCGATGGAGTAATAATTGCTACACATGACCTCCCTTTTGAAAGGAATCTTAAAATTGGGTAGTGTAATAGCCGTTTTATTGAAAAGAAATCGAAAATATATAAAATATTACCGTACGAATTAACCCTATTCTATGGGTAATTTTGCTTGGCTGGCAATCCAAAAATACCCACAAACTAGATAGACCTTTTCATAGATATAGTAGAACAAAGAGTATTTTTTTAATTTCCTCATTTGATAAAAACCAAAAGTTCTAAGATCCATAAAGCCAACATTTTATTATGCCAATGGTGTCGAATATGGCATGATTCTCTAAACCTAAAGTTAAATTTGACAACAATGTATCCTTGTCATTGTCTTTAACGAATAAAAAGGACAGACTGATGTTAAATTTAGTTTTCAGTTTAGATATTCATGCCAGAATCTACACCACTGTTATAAAACTTACATGGAAATAAAACGCGACAATCTGACAGCAGATTGACATTGACAATTAGAAGTTGTACCTTTACCTGCCAAAATATTTTTTTGTTTTTATTTGTTTTTGGGCAGTAGTTCAATTCTTTTACCGCTAAAATAATGTCGCAACAATTAGAACTTCTTAATGAGCACCCTTCCCATTGGATTCCTGTTTCGTATGTCACACCAGAAATACAAAAGAAGGAGATCAAACCATTTGTCGTTCGTAAGTTTCACAGTTACCTAATCTAATTAACAGTTTTTTATGTAAAGTATATTCTTTACCAAATTAGCAATGGAGATAAAACACAGAGAACAAGTCGTATAATCCAATACCCAAAGTGTCTGTAGAAAAATTGATCTCAAAATAAGTAGACATTCAAAATATTAATAAGGTTCTGGAAACTTTGTTCCAGTGGCACTCAAAGAGCTAGAAGGCAACCCTGACAGTAGAACCTCAAGCCTAGTTAATGTAGATAAGTTTTCTGCGGTCCGCGAGGTGGTGAGACATTTTGCGAGGTTACGATCTGCAACCAAGGAAGCTTGGGGACAGGAAGACGTCAAGTGTTTCCTGGACAGCCTAAGGTACGATGTGAACACAGTATTTACATAATCTATGGTTTTTTATGCAAGCCCCAATCATATCAAATAATTAGTCAAATATACTCCAGAAGGTAGTGTTATTTGTGAGATAAACGTAAGTGCTTGTACCTTAGTGATATAAATATCATTTAGTTTATATTTGTAAGATCTGTGTAGCATGGGACTTAATAGTTAAGTTGTTGTGAATCGAATGACAATTAAATTAGAGACTCCATTTTTTGTTATCTTGTCATTTTAGAATTTGAATATTTTCTCTCTATTTTACACCTTGTAAAATCAATTTATGTACCTAGTGGAGTTCTGGTAACCCCTTTGAGCTCAATAGAATAGTCTTAATTAGCCAAAGGCTTTTGGAAGGTTTTTTAAGATTTCTTCTATATTTTTTTTTAATAAGAAGAAGGGTGGCAAAAATCATATGGCCTGCCTGATGGTGAGCAGCTACCTTAGCCTAAAGATGCTTGCGGTACAAAAAATATCAATCGCACCATAACCTTACCTGACCCAATACCCTGCCCTGTGGAGCCCTGGTACCTTACTCGGCTAAACTGTACTTTCAAGGCCCAAGGCCCAGTGATACTTCACACTCGGTTAGGTTAGGTTAGCCTTGTGACGATAATGCGCGAGCAAAGCCAGCGTGCTGCGGCAGCGGCTGGCGAACGCGCCCGAAAAAAATTGTCTGTATATAGACATTTTCTAAAAAAAAATTTAACTATCACCTCTTGGACCCTGGAAGTACAGCTTTGCCTCTTTTCTTGGTCTTCTCGATATTGAAAATACTGCACTCTTGTGCTCTTCACTCTTGTACTCTTCAAACACTTCAACTGTTGCACTCTTGTGCTCTTCAAGTTAATTGTACTGACTTTTTACATATGTACCAGCATGTTTCCTCACAGATTTTCACCTGAGTGCGTAACTGAACTGGCATCCTTATTGTGTGTTGACAAAATATATGAAAACATACCACCTCATCTGAGAATGAAACCTGGTTTGGAGAGTTTAAAGTGGAAAATTGATGTTTCATTAAGGTATGTATTATTTTTTTATGTAAAATGTGAATTGAGTGTGAAATTTGATTAAATTATAGACACATTTAAATAACTAAAATTTAAAAGTACTTAATGTCAAAAATTTACAATCCAGATTACCTTATCCTACTTAGTAACTTTTATAATATGTAATTTACAATATAAAATGTATGTCACCCCCCGCGCTGCCATCGGCAATGGTGCAAATATTAGCAAAGTAGTGGTATTGATTCTGGCATGATTCTCTAAACTTAAAACTAAATTTAACATCAGTCTGTCCTTTTCATTCTGTATAGAGAATGACAAAGATACACTGTTGTCAAATTTAAGTTTAGCTTTAGAGAATCATGCCAGAATCGACATCATTGTATCGCTAATTGATAGCTTAATCAAAATTTCATCCCCCATTTTACTTCCTTTAAGTTTTATTTAATATAAAACCAAAGTTTCTATAGAGTCCAATCTATACCCACCTGAAGCATAATAGAAGATTAAATCACGTAAGAATATATCACCCATCTGAAGCATTTATTTATTTACTTCAGGCAACATAGGCCCATAGATAAACAGCCCTTACAGTCTAACATATAAACGGATACAAAACATTATTGTTAGTAAATAAACTTATTACCGGAAATAATAAAAAACTTAATTAACAAACACGTATAGACGGCGATGTGTGACGCGGAGTGGTTCCAGGTAGATCGCCTCGGAACCGCTGGAACACAACACCTTTCGGCCAAAGATCTTCCTTCATAAACGTTGCCAGATATTCGGTTTGCACTCTCACCACGAATGAGTTAATTCACATCATGGTGTGGCTCCAACTGTGCGGCTAACATTCATGTGTGATGTATGTAATTGTTACTGTGGACCCCATTAGTCTTAGTATAACGGCGGGCTGTTTCCGCAACTCGACACCCAGTGCCTATTTTGTGTGGGGATTGGCATCAGTCCTGCCATCCCAGCTCCTCCAGAAAGCTCAGCAGTCCCCGGTTGTTGCTGCAGGCTTCTACTAGTGTCCGCGGGCTTCCCATTATAGAAGTCCTTTGTCTTGCAACGCCTCTGCACTCCAGCAGAACATGGGCGCTCGTCTCCTCCTTCTCCAAGCAGGCTGTGAACCCCATACTGATACCAATACTACGGACCTTTTAAAAGATAGACTCCTTATGGAGAAACCTTGCTATTAAATATACTTAATACATTCATTTCTTTTCAGCCAATCCAATATACATTCAGAAAAAGCCGACCCAAGCCGGACGAAAGAAATAATGAGGAGAGACACACGCATTATATTAATACTCAAATTGACAGACGGACAAACTAAAAGTTACAGGTTGACTATAGTGAAATTTCACGAACTGAGGTACGCTATAGCTAGCGCTTTGAAGAGCATGATCGTACTAGAAAAGAGAAAATGTATGAGGAAAGACTGACAAAGGTCGTCTTGGGGATAGCATACCCCATTTAGAATATGTGATTTCTCTATACTCTGTCCACTGAAACGAATTAGTGGAGTGCTTACTTTATTACATAATCGCCTTAAAACACAAGGATGGTAGACTACGACGCACGTAAAAGGGGCTGCCATTGGTCGGAGTTACGCTAACAATACAATTCAGCCAATGACAAGAGAGCCTATATTTCGTTTTAACAAATTTCCGTGAACAGAGTATACTAATAGTTTTGGTCTTATCTAGGTCATTCAAAAATTAGACTGTATAATATAATTTATAGCAATAAACATTTGCACTCAATTTTGACAATATTTTCTCTTGAGTTGTTATATAAGTAATAAGTTTTTCAACTGTACTTCCTTTTAGATAATTTGGAAGCGATTAAGAGTTAACCTTATTATTAAGTTAAATTTTCTGTATGACCTTGTTACACTCTCATAATACAGCACAAAAGACACCATATACGTATTGCGTGGCATCATAGCAAATACGAAGTCTAAAGCTAATATCAATTCGCGTCAGTACACTACAACCTTAGATTAAAACAAAAAAGGAAAGACGGTATGCACATAGTAGCATCATATAAAATATGCTCCGACTTAACAACATAAGCAACTCTCTCACACGGACAATTCTGTAAATATTCATTCAATCGACCGAGCGAGATAGAACTGTACGCTTCAACGCAGCGCGAGCGAAACGGCGAGTCCGCGTCGTTTGGCTTGGCGACTGCATTTACTTTTCTCTCTCTACAAACGGCTGAGCTGTATTGTTGTCCTTTTCTTGATAACAAATGACGAAAAAGTAAATAACATTCATGGCAAACCGTGATTAAAAAAAATATTTTCAGTTTTACGAATGAAAAGTTTTGCCGTGAAATTGGATATTGAACTATTTGTGCTCTTTATAAAAGCATCGCAGGCATTGTTTTATCTTCACAACACAGAATATATGCAATATTGTTATATTGAGTGCACATACAGCGTGTTTGAATGTCCAATTGTGACTAAAGCGAATTGTGGTCATACACCACAATTTAAGCGAATCACGTTTAAGCCGCGAATGCCGTTTCTTTACTTTTTGTTTTAATCTAAGACTACAACGCATCGTGTTTTGAATACGTCCTGTGAATATTAAGATTTTATCAAAGCTGTGTCGCCTTTTCAGACATTGTAAAAACTGTTCACAAATACAAAAAAAGGTCTTTACTTTTGACTTCCTATTTGCTATGTTCATATCTGCCTTTTGTTCTGTAATCTGAGGTTATAATAATTTTATTAAAATTATAGTGAAGTAAAGATACATTCCTGTTATAAGTTAATTAAATATATAGGAAAGATACTTTATAATATATTATTAGTTATTATTTTATATAAACTTAAAAAAATGCGAGTTGAATACGAGACCTTGGTTGTAAGTAAAATGTAACTCTCGTCCCCTTATTAAGAGGTTACACGCAATTGGAAGGCCCAAAAAAATTTTTTTTGAAAAAGATTTTATTTGACAAATACAAAAGTGGTCAATAAACATAATGGTAACTTTTTACTTCACTTGGTTGCTTTTGATTTTAAAAAATATTAATTTACTGTTTCGTATGTAGACAGTCTCCTGGAGGACTACCAAACAGAGGTGTCTAGTGGTGAGCAACATATCTCTGGTTTGGTTTATCTGAAATTACAAAAACCATAGGATTATATTCGTGGATGAATAAATCTAGGTATTGATCGCAAAAAAAGGCAAAATTTTTAACTTTTGACAAAATGGTAGCTCTGAAAAGAAATAAAAGAAATTTTCGACCAAATTGTTTTCGTTAAATTGTTATTACAAAAATAGAAATAATTATCACATACCTTATTTCTTCGATCAATTGCAGAAGAATAAATTATCTGAGAAGTTTGTGTGCAGTTTTTTTGAAATGGTGCTCACGGACATTGAAATAACCGTTTTGAGAAAAACGCATTCAAATATATTGTTTTAAATTTTCATGGTCACTACACTACCGTTATTGTTAATATCGGAGACTCATAAAAAACAAGGTACATGGTAACAATTCCGTTAATAGCTATAACGCATTCAGGTTTCAAAAGACGTTTACACATACTTACATGGATTCCGTCCAAATATGCGTGTACCTCCAAGAATATGTGCTAGATTAATTTGAAATTCTTAAATACTCAATGCAATAAAAAAAAAATTTTTGAACTTTTTAACTACGCCCCCCCCCCCCCCCCCTTAATAAACCAACTTAATAACCCCTTAATAAACAATTAACTTCCACAATGCAGCATTTGTGTCTGATAATTTAATTACGAATCTCATTCACCGTCACTTAATATCAGGTAGGGTGGAGTCATTTGTCGAACCTATCTATAAAAAAAAAATGGATGCGTGTAACTTATGTACGCGCGTGAGAAGTTATACTTCTTTAGCATCATTAAAAATATTTTTTATTTGCATGCAAATAATTAATAATTACAATAAAATAATAAAAGAACTGGAAAAGGATAGTTAACACAGTCAATTAAGTTCAGTTTTAATTTGAAAAATTAAATAAATATTTAAAATATTCAATTAAAATCACTACTGAATTTAAGTTATTAGTCCATATGTAATTAGCACTTGTAAGTAACTAAAACACGTTGTGTCTATATAGAAACTAGAAACATGTGGATAAATATTATAAATATGAAAACAGTGATCAGAGGCGACGAGCGTGCCAACATTGTTTTTGACAACGCGATCATCTTATGGAGCTCCGTGGATCGTTCAAAGTACCTTTCGAACAGATGTCTAATAATGGTGGATTATTAACCACTAAGTGGTTAATAATCCACCATTATTAGACACTAACATTCATAACGCGCCCGCGGCCAACTTCATAGTGTTACTATTGTGTTACAGTGATGCGCGCGCATCTCGAAATTTCACTCACATGATTTTTTCATAACGCGCCCGCGGCTAACTTCATTATGTTACTTTTGTGTTACAGTGATGCGCGCGCATCTTAAAATTTCACTCTCATAATTTTTTCATAACGCGGCTAAAGAAGTATAACTTCAAAAATACAACCATAAAAAATATTAATAGGGGTCCAAGTTCTCTAATAGAAGCAAAGTTATCTAAAATGATTATTAAACTGCTCAAAAACTTGTCAATTTATTTTATTTTAAGGCGTGTTTCACTATAGAAATAATAAGTTATATGTCAAGGCTAACAAACTTAATAAGCCGCTCAATTAATAGCCTAGTATCCTATTTAACTAATTTGTCATTCTCTTTTCATCTTGTCATCTTGTCATCTCTGGGTTATATTTTGGCGTTTCTCACAACATGTCCTAACGTATTTCCATTCTTTCATTTTTTATTATGCTTGTGACATCTTTTAAATATTTTTGTTAAAATAGAAGATGTGAAGACAAAAGAATTGTAGGAGAAGCTAAAGGAAAGCAAAATATTGAAAAATTTTGGAAAACTTGTTCACCTAAAATAACAAAAATGTATATACAGGACGTCCGAACAAAATTGCATATACAGTCTTATATTTTTTAAACACTAAAAACGCTGTTCGCCACATCCGCCATGATTGTGACGTCTCTTATGGTAAACAACTAAATGTCATTCGCGTGTTACTGTGGGTGGATTCTTTCGTCTGACTAAATTTATCTTAAAACACTTTTAACTTTAGAAAAGTTTCCATTTACTGTTTTTTTTTTTTGAAATAACTAATTATGGATGCCGGTTTGTGAAAACAGAAAGCACAAATCTGCCAAGAATTGACGCATTGATGGTTGGTGAATTTATTGCACTAAACCCCGATTTCTGCTCTGCGGAGCAGAGAAACAAGGCATCTATGTAAGTACAGTGTATTTAGTATTACAATGATGTCGATTCTGGCATGATTCTCTAAAGCTAAACTTAAAATTGACAACAGTGCATCCCTGTCATTCTTTACACAGAATGAAAAGGAGAGACTGATGTTAAATTTAGTTTTAAGTTTAGAGAATCACGCCAGAATCGATACCATTGTAGCAATAAACATAAAACTGATACAACATATGAATAAGTGTAATAAAGTTGCGTACGTTAATTTCTTTCGGCACTTTAATCCACAACTTTCCTGGAGTCATAAAGGATGTGTTTTTTATATTCTCGTACAATACAATAATGATAATTACTTTATTTTTCGTGGTATTTATTAGAAATCATGTATAAGTTATTTTCTACGTGCTTACGAGTTTTTGTTTACTGCAGTTAACGTCATAGCATAGATAATCTATAGACTAAAATGGCCGACAGCGTTTTTGTATGTCCATGAAAAATCTATTTTAAAATTAAAGATTTGTAGCTTTTTAGGTGTCAAAAAAATACAATACATTTTTTTTCGGTCTAATAGAACATTTATTACCCATTTAAAACCTTTTTCCAAAAAGGGTCAAGTAGCCTATTACATGGTTCGGAATGAATTTTTCCTACGCCGCTGCCGCAAGCGATTATGGCATTATGGTTGACAGAGCGGGTCTTTCCGCGAGTGTACCTACATGGTAATAATCCCGTAAGTAAATAACTTATATTACTAAAATATATGTAACTTATTAAAACAATTATTGTTGACGTGCTAGTAATATTAATAGGAAATTGTTTTGGGCATTTTTCTTGTTGAAATATAATCGATAAAAAATAAAAAATAATAGGCTTGATTTCTCAATCCTCTTGATGAATATATCAGTTAATATCAAAATGTTCGGTTTGTCATTGTTGTCAGCCTTTTGTATGACAAGGCTCAACCAAACATTATAATGTAAAATAGACATTAAAGTTATAAGTCTTAAAAAATAAATGAAAAATATATTTGGGTGTTTGGCCCTTACATGTTATAAACTATGGTGCATACACTGCATTTATTTAAATAGATAGTGAATTATATAAGAAAATATTTTTGTCATTTAATAAAACACTAATGAATAAAAAAAAATATTTTATTTCTTTATTCAAAAAGATTGACAGACGAGCATACAGGGTGTAAAAAAACCTATGACAAATACTAAAACTACGCAGTTTGTACACCCAAACAAGTAATATTACAAAATATTATACGTGGGAATCATTTGTATTTTTAAGTTAAAAAAATACATGTTTTTTCCAGTACGCAATGCGCGGCTCGCTACTGTGACGCTACGCAAAAAATGTGCCTGTGTATATGTAAGTGCGTCGATAACAAGTTTCTAAATAACGTTTTGAAAATATTAATGCATAAATCTTGAAAAAAAAATGTAAATGGAGATATTAACCTTTAATATCTCCATAACCATAAATTTCCCAGGTATGGTCCAGAAGAAAAAAAATATCGTCACGATGTGGAAAATACCTGGCTTTCGACTTCGTTAAAGGTTTTTTTACACCCTGTATTATTGTCCCGCCTCTTAGTAAGCGGCCGCCATAGCCTATAGAAAAGTGCTTGCGATACCAAAGTATTCACTCGCGTGTTGACTACCCTGACCCCATCCAAGAATCCAAGATTCCAGGGCCAGTGGTAGGAGCCCTGGATTCTTGGGTTGCTTTCCAATTATAGCATTATTGCGCATTATGCGGCATAATGCTTAACGTTTGAGTGTTCCATCTACAGCAACGCTTCGCACAATTGAGCACTCTCAAAAGTGATGCTTTCGTGTGATGCGTGCAATGGTACTAACTTAGAGAAAGAAAATTAACAAGTGTTTTTTCTTTAAGTTGGCATTGATCGAAATGTTTTATTTATATGTTATCGTTAGTAATATTATTTATTGTTGAAAAATTATTAAAGCTTTCGTTTCATTAAATAGTTTTTTTTAAATAATCAAAGTTCATTCAAACTGTTAAAAAATAAATATAAGTATGGATGAAGGTACAAACATTGACTTTTTTTTAACACTGAATTTAGCGCACTCTGCTGGTGCATTTGAAAACTAATTCACGTTCCAATTAAGCATCAGCATAATTGGGCATTGTGCGGCACTGAGTCGCATTATGCTCTGTAATTGGAAAGCATACTTGTTCACCAACAGAAACAACACCATCAAATTAACGTTTTTCTTCATCGCTGTGCTGATTTTTTTATAATGTGAAAGTACAACCTTTGTATTCAAATCTTTGCCTTAGTAAGCAGCTTAGATTAAAAAAAAGAGAAGATCACTCGCGGCTCAAAAGTGATCCGCTTAAATTGTGGTGCATGACCACAAATCGCTTTAGTCACAATTGGACATTCAAACACGCCGCATATGCACACTCAATATAAAAATATTGCGTATATTATGTGTTATAAAGATAAAACAATGCCTTAGATCCTTTTATAAAGAACACAAATAGTTTAAAATCAAATACCTCGGCAACACTTTTCATTCGTAAAACTGTAAAATAGTTTTTATCGTGAATGTTATTAACGTAATCGTCATTTTGTTATCAAGAAAAGGACAACAATACAGCCCAGCCGCAGACTCGCCGTTTCGCTCGCGCTGCGTTGAAGCGTACAGCAGTTCTGTCTCGCTCGCTCGATTGAATGTTATTGACAAATCTGTGCGTGTGTGAGAGTTGCTTATGTAGTTGAGTCGGATCATAATTTATTTGATGCTAGAATGAGCGTACCGTATCTTCCCTTTTTGTTTTAATCTAAGATAAGGCAGTCCCAGGACTTGTTGGTACTTTTAAAGACGCGGAGGGGTACTGACCCCGTAGGCTTTTTCTTGAAATTTGTAGTCAAAACTGAATATAACGACATCGTTTATAACGATGGATAAGTTATTATGACCAATAGGATATTTGACAAGATTTAGAAAACGGTCTGACGTCATTAAGTATTTTTTATGGAGTCCATAAAAAGTGAATATTCATGATTCTCTTGTGTATTTCATTAAAAAAACTATATCGAAAACTCGCATTTTCGAGTTGCCGCTGAAACGTTTCTCTGGACAATATAGCGTCTCACTGGTACGCGACGTCACACAACAGTCATTAAACGTCAAACGACACAATGTTATGTCACTTTAACCGGAAGTTTACTGGCGTGTGACGTCATTTAAGGCTCCGCCAATGTCTTGCGTTTTCGCTCACGTGACAATAGATAAGAAAGCTATTGTGTTTTTCGTTCGGTTTTTAGTAAAATGATGAATATTTTTTATGTAAAAATTGTAAAAAAAAACATGCCAATATAATTTTTCTAAATACTGATGCTAACAATTGGCATTTTATTGTGAATACTGTATTATCGTATTGGCAAAGTTGGGACCCTAGGCCGTTAATGAATATTACCCCCCTTATTAATTAACATGGAATAAATGAATAAGTTTAGATTAGTTACGCCGTGTTTTGTTCATATCACTCAAATTCCATTTGTCAATGAATAAACAGTGGATGGAGTAACTAATCCAAGCTTAGTCTTTGTTTATTAATAAGGGGGTAGAAGTATAAAGCTTCATGTACCCGCAAATCATACTTCCCAACCGTTTTACTTGTATCAACCAAACAAAACATTAGGACATTTATGAAGGAATATCATGAATTACTATTTATTAGTCGTCGATGCATAAAACTATGTTAAACACTGATTTAAAGGAAATGCAGTGTTCTGAATGGTCTGTATATTCGGTAAAATAAAGCCTTTTTTTAATTAATTAAATAATGTTTATTCTAAAGGAATGTGTTTCTTATATTAATTTAGGTGGACTGATTTCAACTTTCATTATTTTGTGTCTCTGTTGCTTGTGCCTCGAGATGCGTCGTTACTTCCTGTTTTTGTAACAAAAGAAAATAAATAAATTTAGAAAACAAACAATCAAATAGCTAAGATTTGCAACTGAGCAACTTTTCCATTGGCCAGCCATTGGATGAGATGTTTACTATAACTCATTTCAACGTGCTTCGGAAGGCACGTTAAGCTGTTGGTCCCGGCTGCATCTGCAGTCGTTCTTCACCGTGCTTCGGAAGGCACGTTAAGCCGTTGGTCCCAGCTGCATCTGCAGTCGTTAGCACCCACCAATCCGCAGTGGGTCACGACCTAATCTCCCTAGTCCATCCATAGGGAAGTCCAGTGCCCCAGCAGTGGGGACATTAAGAGGCCGATAATTACGTGTCTTCTGATAAATTAGATATTACAAAGGAGCCGTTCAAGTATTACGTAAGCACTATAGGGAGGTCTTTGCTTTGCTTATTTTTGATGACACGGGTGGTATCATGATGCTCATGAAAACATTAAAGGAAAAATGCATATAGGTATCAATTTTTACGTAGGCCTAGGGGGGGGGGGGGTATAAGAGATTGGCTTACTTTTGGAGGGGGAGGAGGGGTAAATAATTGTAATCTGAAATCTGCTTACGTCCTGGGTTCCGAACCTGGGGGTAATTACCCCTCCGGGGGTAAATCAGCCATACTTCGGGGGTAACAAAGAACCTAATTATTTGGTCAAATCTAAATAATAAGAAAATACTATATAATAATACTACTAAATAGAGCATGCGCTCCTTCTTGCTAGCGAGCCCGCGGGTTGCGGAGTGTGGGAAGCGGGGCGAGATTTTCTCCTGATGATGACATTGTTAGAGACGAAGATGTAGCGGCCAAATTGGAATTTCTTGAACTGATGATAACATCTTAAAGTCGGGGTAAAATCTGTTTTCCTAATAGGTTACAGGGGTAGCAGTATTCGAAAGGTTAGGAAACACTGGCTTACGTAATACATGAACGGCGCAAAAGACGGTAGAGATGGCAACGCTATATGGAGTATAGATAATGCTGCTCACCTCATGTTACTTAGTTTGTTCGAGCGCGGCGAGAGTGGTTTCTTGCGCGAATGTATCGCCGCATTCGCAGGCGAATGGACGTTCGTTCGCGTACGTTCGCAAATGCGCGCGTAAGGCACTCTTGCGCTGTTAGAAAATACAAAATGAATTGGAAAAGGAAGGCAACAGGAACTAAATGAGCAGAGGGATTCGACAACCTCTGAGGCCGAGTGGTTTCAAGGTGTCTCGCCTACTCGCGAGGCCCCGGGTTCGAATCCCGGTGGGGGCATATGTTTGTGTGATAATTACGAGCACTTGTCCTCCAGTCATGGATGTATAATAGGTATTTCTATATAAATATACTTATATAGTATATGTATTCTATCCGTTACCCTAGTATCCCATAACACAAGCCTTATAGTGCTTACTTTGGGGCTAGGCTAATTGGTGTGAGTGTTGGAAACATTTATTTATTTATTATTATTTTATTTATTTATATAAATATACTTGTGTATGTATTCTATCCGTTACCCTAGTATCCCATAACACAAGCCTACGGTGTTTACTATGGGGCTAGGCTAATTGGTGTGAGTGTTCATCACACAAACGTCGGCCTCCACCGGGATTCGAACACGGGACCTCTCGAGTAGGCGACACCTTCAAACCCGGCGTACAAACCACTCGGCCACGGAGGTCGTCGAAGTTGAAAGGTATTATAGTCATGGTGAAATTCCATCCCGGGGGTCTTTAGGTACAAGTTCCTATTTAACTTAAAATTACCTAGAAGGAGCTCGATGGTGCAAATGGTAAGCGCGTTCGGCTGCGATCGGTAAAGTTAAGCAACTTTCGGAGTGGTCGGTCATTGGATGGGTGACCAAAAATTCACTATCTCGAGCTCTTCCGTGCTTCGGAAGGCACATTAAGCCGTTGGTCCCGGCTGCATTTGTAGTCGTTAGCACCCACCAATCCGCACTGGGCCCGCGTGGTGGATTACGGCCCAGTCTCCCTATTCTATCTATAGGGAAGACCTGTGCCCCAGTAACAAGAACAATAATATTACTAGAAAAAAATCGCAGCGCCATCTCTTCGCATTGTAGGTTACCCACAAAATTATAACTATAATTGCTATTTCTTCTTTCAAGTGTTTAATACTTGTAAAAGTATTCATTTGACATTGTGGGTAACCTACAATGCGAAGAGATGGCGCTACCTTGCAGCTTAAGAAAGGATAGAAGGAATTCAACACGGCCGTCAGGGCCGCGGTAGCATAATTGGTCAGTGCATTCGCCCGGATAGCGAAGGGTGTGGGTTCGAATCCCGTCTGCTGGCTGGTCCGCGTGGATTTTTTTCTAGTAATATTTTCTTCAGAATTAAACAAAAAGTGAAATTTTCGCTATGCCCAATTAATCAAAATAACGAAACTGCAGATATTCCGTCTATCAGGTGGTTTACTGAAAATAACATTGAGATAGTAAGTTTAAAGAGAGTAATTATACTGCTGTGCTTAATTGATTCCACTTGGTTTGCCATAAGGACTCTTCTGTCAATGTGAGTAAACCATTTCAATTTCTATTACTGCAAAGCGGCTAGTGTTGCCGAACTATCGATATTAAAACTATCGATAGTTTACATCGAAAATCATATACCCTATCTATAGAATCGATAAGGCAATACTATCGAATGAGGGCAATACTATAGATACTATCGATACTATTGTAGTTCCTTAATAACAAACTATTAATAGTATCGATACTATCGATAGTGTTGATTTTATCTGCAACAATACTATCAATAGTATCGATACTAGCGATTGTTTTAGACTAAAGTTTGTGATTGACTATAATACCTGAAAATTGTAAACAATACTATTGCAAATTGTTTTACTATCGATAGTTTGGTTGCATTAAAATCGATACTATCGATAGTTTGTTATTAACGAACTACAATGCTATCGAAGGTATTTAACTCATCCGATAGTATTGGCTTTTTCCGTGATATTGATAGTATCGATAAGCCGATCGATTGTCATACGATTGGGTGGCTATCAATAGACTATCGATTAATCATCGATAGTCGACTATCGATCGGCAACACTAAAAGCGGAATCTTTGACAATACTGAACAAAACTTATTGAAAACATTAGTATATCATCAATGTAACGTAGCACGAAAAGTTCATAAACAAGAATTTTACACAAACTTGGTCATGATCACTTTCAAAGCTATGGTCGTTTAATGCAGTCCAAATGTCATATAAAGCAATATTAAACAATGATAAATAATACAAAAAACCTTACGTCAAAAGTGAATTTCTAAAGTATAGTGATTTGGCGAAAACATGCACCGAATACACATTGCTAATATTAAAACATACTCTTTGTGTAACTTCATTTTAAAAAAATCTCACCTAAACGTAGAAACATCTCGATGCCTCTTATTTCTCTTGAAGTGCAGAGACAAGTTTTCCTGAAAACATATTTATAAATTATTCATTTATAGATTATACAAAAAAATCAGGTTCAAATAAGGTTTCCTCCTTTCTAAATTTTTTATTTTTAGACTATCATGGAGTCTAGGTCTGGCATTAGTCCAATTTTAAGTGAATTTTGAAATTTCTATACATAATGCATAATAAAATAAATAAATATTTCCAACACTCACACCAAATAGCCTAGCCCCAAAGTAAGCACTGTAAGGCTTGAGTTATGGGATACTAGGGTAACGGATAGAATACATATACTGTACATGTATAAGTATATTTATATAGAAATACATCATTTGATTAAACATCCATGACTGGAGTGCAAATGCACGTATTCATCACAGAAACATCTGGCCCCACCGGGATTCGAACACGGGGCCTCTCGAGTCGGCGACACCATGAAACCCGGCGTACAAACCACTCGGCCACGGAAGTCGTCAAATATTCTACATTAACTAACAATAGAAAGAATAAATCTACTGTTTACTTCTAATGGAAATAGACAAAATCTTTTCTAAGGGGGTAAACGAAGCGCTCAAAAATTACGATTTTTTTGCAAAAAATGTGAAAAGGCTCTTAAGCTTTCTTTAGGAAGCACTCACCCTGGATTTGAATTTAACATCGCATTCGACGCAATAGTAATCGTCTCTCACGTGCACCGCCATCTTGTGCTGGTGCAACAGAGACGGATAGACGAACCATCGGTCGCACTTGCGACATGCAGTCGTCACGATAAAAGCGCTTGCTTTTATCGTGACGACTGCATAAACGAAACGGAAATAAAGTTGATTCAATTGAAAGAAAATTTTACTAGAAAAAAATATGTAGTCTGTGCCAAAAGAATTTAGACCAAAAGCAAAAACAAACATTTTACCTCCTAATTCCGACGCAATGACACACTAAATTGATTTCCCATTCTTTTGCATTTCTAGGGGTATAACTTATTAATTCACTATCTTTTATAGCACTAATTTCTTTATAAATATATGATTTTTTTTAAAAACTTGAGTCGAAAAGGTTATTTTGAAAGATGGGAATTGTCTGTTGTCTATGGTTGAACAGTGTTGCACCGAAAAGTCTATTCAAAATGATTTCAATTGTCGTAAGTAATCGAATAGTGAATCGATTATAAATTCGAACTGATAAGTAACATAATGAATAATACAGTTTATGGAACGTAATTTTAGTGTTATTGCAAATATGAGCAATTAAGTTGGTATTTTCTTTTTAGGCTTTATCATTATCTTAAATCTTAATTACGGATGGTGTGGTATTTTAATTATTCTCTTATTGATTTCTGATATCCTGATTATTAAAATGTAAAAGTGGTATAGTTTTGATTTACTAAGAGCAGAGACGCATATATTATAATTGACAAATATACGATGACGACGAATATATTATTCAATAAATCATGCAATCCAATCGTTCTAAAACAATTTTATTATGTAACAAAGTATAGTTAACTATATTGCTAAATAGCCTTTCACCTCAAGATGACAGCCTTTTTTTGAGTAATGACGATAAAAAAATATTCGTGCTACAAATTAAGCCTAATAGATCTTTAAAAGATTCTAAGAATACGATAATTCAATTGATCAATTGATTTTGATAAGGCTCCCCATCACTAAACTGTCTATGGTCAGACTTACCGACCTCTTTGTTTACTTTTGGTCTAAATTCTTCTGGAACAGACAATAGAGTCGAACCACAATAACATTCGGGAGCGGGACCTCTGAGTACACGACACGCCATAAAATCAGGCGTATATACCACTCGTACACGGGGGTTGTCATTAGTGTTGCCAGGTCCGATTTTTTTAAATCGGTACATGATAAAAATCGGGACTTAGGGTTGCAGGTCGGGACAGTAAAGAAAAACAAGGGGTTTTTAAGTCTGGGTTTAATTTATTGCGATTTAAACTACTAGTGCAAGTATAGTATTATATTAATTACCTTACTTTATTTTTTTGTATAATCGGGACATTTAGCGTCCTGATCAGATACAAATCGGGACGCGTCCCCACCAGACCCCTGAAAATCGGGACGTCCCACGCAAATCGGGGCACCTGGCAACACTAGTTATCATATATATACAGGGTGGCCGGGGAGTTGACGTTCAAGCGTAAAATTTAGATACTTTATGATGAGTAGTATCCAAATCACCCCCATGTATGTTCTACGATTTTGCGTAGTTTTCGAGTTATAATTTTTTTAATGATTTTTTTCGTAATTACCACCTAACATCCGTTTTCGATTTTTTTCTCATTCTGTTGGACGTTTCTGGTTCAGTTTTTTTGTGATAACTGACTAACATAGTCTAACCTAGCACCCTAAAACTTATGGTTTATCTAGGCATTGCAGAATTTACTTAGAATTTGTTCGAAAGTTCAAAATTACGATTTGAGCTCAGTACACACAAATTTTCAAATTATGAAAAAAAATGTAAATGGGGGATTTTGAGTTCAAAGTACTTTTAGAAACTTCCTGAAACATTAAACTTTAAAACAAGGCCAAATAAAGATAGGGTTAATGGGGGTTTTTTTTCTGTAACTGACCTTCAAAGTAAATTAAGGCATTTTTCAAGGAAAAAAAATAATTATTTTCTTTTATTTAAATCTTTGCCTATCTCAGTTATGATGGATTTGAGTAAAACACAGTTGTTAATGACCTAAATACTACTACTACTTACTTACTCGTCTTGTTCTGCCGTTTTTTCTCGACCACTATTTGCCTACTGATACCGCCGCTGCTTACTTGTTTGACCCCTGCTTGTTACTGGATTCCGTAGTGCCTAACGATTTGGATTGTAGTTACTTGGAAGTGTTAGTGATGCCCTACACTCTGAGTGAATATGCAGAAATGCATTATTTCTACGGGGATCAACTTCAACGCCGAGGCGGAGCGCAACCTGATCATTACCCTGACTATCATGTGTACATGAATACTCACAATACGTTAACGGCAGGCCGCATTCCTGGCCAACGTGGCGGTGAAGGCATTCAGAGGGTTGATCAGGAACGCAGGGAAATCGTACTGGAAGAAGTGCAACGCAATAGTAGTACAAGTACGAGAGCATTAGCTCGTAACCTTGACTTACCAAGATCTTCAATACAGGATACTTTGCGTGAGGAATCATTTCACGCCTACCACATACAAAAAGTACAAGCGTTGCAGCCTTCAGATTATCAATTGAGAGTCGAGTTCTGTAGAACTATGTTGCAGAAAGAGGAAGAAGATCCCGGATATTTTAATAAAATCTTGTGGACCGACGAGTCAAGATTTGAGCGAACTGGGATTTTCAATATCCACAATTTTCACATTTGGGCCGTTGAAAATCCACATGCCGCCAAACCATCATCATTATAACATCGTCGTAGCGTTGACATGTGGTCTGGTGTTTTGAATGGCGAGATTAGACGGCGACACATACAAAAGTTTTTTAGAAGACAATCTACCGTCTAATGTAAATCTTGAATTAAGAAGAACGATGGTATTCCAGAACGACGGGTCGCCATGTCATTACGCGACACAAGTGCGTCGCCATTTAGTGGTCTAAGGTCTGGTGACCTACCCCAACAGGTGGATCGGACGACGAGGGCCAATTGCCTGGCCCCACGCTCGCCTGACCTCAACCCTATTGATTTTTTTATCTGGGACTACTTTAAAGAAATTGCGTTCGCCAGAGAAGCTTCGAGTGAAGAAGAACTGAGAGCAAAAATTCGCGAAGCTGAAACTACTGTCAAAAATAACCGTGAAGCTTTTAGGCACCTAAAACATAATTTTTTGCGCAGATGTAGATTGTGTATTTCTGTGGGAGGGCAAAATTTTGAAAGTTTTGCTTTAAATTAATGTATTTTGTTCACAATTAACTGCGTTTTACTCATATCCATCATAATTCATAGAAAGTCAAAGATTTAAATAAAATATAATAATTCCTTTGAAAATGCCCTAATTTACTTTGAAGGTCAGTTACAGAAAATAAACCCCCATCAACTATTTCTTTATTTGGCTTTGTTTGAAAGTTTAATGTCTCAGGAAGTTACTAAAAGCACTTTGAACTCAAAATCTCCCCATTTACATTTTTTTTGATACTTTGAAAATTTGTGTGTACTGAGCTCAAACCGTAATTTTGAACTTTCGAACAAATTCTAAGTGAATTCTGCAATGCCTAGATAAACCATAAGTTTTAGAGTGATATGTTAGACTATGTTAGTCAGTTATCACAAAAAAACTGAACCAGAAACGTCCAACAGAATGAGAAAAAAATCGAAAACGGATGTTATGTGGTAATTACGAAAAAAAAACATTAAAAAAATTATAACTCGAAAACTACGCAAAATCGTAGAACATACATGGGGGTGATTTGGTTACTCCTCATCATAAAGTATCTAAATTTGACGCTTGAACGTCAACTCCCCGGCCACCCTGTATATCTATCTATATATTCTAGCTGACTCGGCGAACTTCGTACCGCCCAAAAGTAATAATTTGCAATAAATTAAAATTGCGACTATAATTTGAGATTTAAACTATCCTATCTCTCAAGTTGGATCGAACTGCACATGGTGTGCGAATTTTATTATAATCGGTTCAGTGGTTTAGGAGTCCATTGAGGACAAACATTGTGACACGAGATTTATATATATTAAGATATACTAGAGGTCGCCCGCGACTTCGTCTGCGTTAACTCTTAGTTTCTTGAAAATCCCTCTGGAAGCTAACATTTTTTCGGGATAAAAGTAGCCTATGTGTTAATCTAGGGTGTCATCTAACTCCATACCAAATTTTATTAAAATCGCTCCAGCCGTTTAGACGTGAAGAAGTAACAAACATACACACTCACATACTCACAAACTTTCGCCTTTATAATATTAGTGTGATATATATATACAAGAGGTCGCCCGCGATTTCGTCTGCGTTAACTTAGTTTCTTGAAAATCCCTCTGGAACCTAACATTTTTTCGGGATAAAAGTAGCCTATGTGTTAATCTAGGGTGTCCGCTAACTCAATACCAAATTTTATTAAAATCTCTCCAGCCTTTTAGACGTGAAGAAGTAACAAACATACACTCACACACTCACAAACTTTCGCCTTTATAATATTAGTGTGATATATGCGTATTTGAATAAAAACTCACGTGGTATGTACCCTCAAAGCTTCTAAGCTCTTACTAAACTGTCTATGGTCAGACTTACCGACCTCTGAGTAGACGACACGCCATAAAATCCGTCGTATATACCACGTACACGGGGGTTGTCATTAGTGTTGCCAGGTCCATTTGTTTTAAATCGGTACATGAGGTCATAAAAATCGGGACTTCGGGTTGCAGGTCGGGACAGTAAACAAAAAACAAGGGGTTTTTAAGTCTGGGTTTAATTTATTGCGATTTAAACTACTAGTGCAAGTATAGTATTATATTAATTACCTTACTTTCATTTTTTGATTAATTGGGACATTTAGCGTCCTGATCAGATACAAATCGGGACGCGTCCCCACCAGACCCCTGAAAATCGGGACGTCCCACGCAAATCGGGGCACCTGGCAACACCAGTTGTCATATATATATATATATATACAAGAGGTCGCCCGCGATTTCGTCTGCGTTAACTTAGTTTCTTGAAAATCCCTCTGGAACCTAACATTTTTTCGGGATAAAAGTAGCCTATGTGTTAATCTAGGGTGTCTGCTAACTCAATACCAAATTTTATTAAAAATCTCTCCAGCCTTTTAGACGTGAAGAAGTAACAAACATACACACTCACATACTCACAAACTTTCGCCTTTATAATATTAGTGTGATATATGCAAGGAGCTGGATGGCGCAAGTGGTTAGCGCGTTCGGCTGCGATCGTTGAATTTAAGCAACTTTCGCAGTGGTCGGTCATTGGATGGGTGACCCAAAAACTTCTATCTCGAGTTCCTCCGTGCTTCGGAAGGCACGTTAAGCCGTTGGTCCCGGCTGCATCTGCAGTCGTTAACATTGCATTGGGCCCGCGTGGTGGGTCATGGCCCTATCTCCCTATTCCATCCATAGGGAAGGCCTGTGCTCCAGCAGTGGGGACATTAATAGGCTGATGATGATGATGATGATATACGTATTTGAATAAAAACTCACGTGGTATGTACCCTCAAAGCTTCTAAGCTATTAAGAGTCTTCCCGCATTGGTCGCAAGGGTGTTTCTCTGTCTTATGGTGGCGAGTCCTTATGTGGCGCTGCATTGAAGTTCTCTTACTGGGGAAGACAATTCAATAAATAAATAAATGTATTTTTTTAAGCATTTAACTGCTAGATGTTTGAATGTAAACAAAATATTTGACTAGAAAAAATCCACGCGGACCAGACCGCAGACGGGTCTCGTAACCGCACCCTCCGCTTTTCTCCTCTCTCATCTTCCTTCTCTTTCTACTAGACGGACACTTTTAGAGCCGCCTTCCCCACTCTATATCTCTATTGACGACCTCTGTGGCCGAGTGGTTTGTACGCCGGGTTTCATGGTGTCGCCGACTCGAGAGGTCCCGGGTTCGAATCCCGGTGGGGGCAGATGTTTGTGTGATGAATACGAGCATTTGTACTCCAGTCATGGATGTGTTATATGTATTTCTATAAAAATATACTTATATTTGTACTGTTTAAGTATTCTTTCCGTTACCCTAGTATCACATAACACAAGCCTTACAGTGCTTACTTTGGGGCTAGGCTAATTGGTGTGAGTGGAAATATTTATTTATATTTATATTCTTATACCTCTATGTCTCACTTACCTAGTGACGAAGTCGCATAGCTGACAAGTATACTTCATAGTGTCTGCTGTGTGGCAATTAGAATGGTGTTCCAGCAACACTTGACGTGACAGACGGACGCACCCGCAAACCTTGCATTTGTACCTTGGAGATCATAAAAAAAGGCCTTAGAAAAATCTTGAAATTTTTAAAATCTTAATTCTGCTGATTTTATAAACTAGCGGCCGCCCGCGACTTCGTACGCGTGGAGTTAGTTAGAAATAAAGGTTCACTGCTCGTTCCCCGTAAGTGATAGCGTGATAATATGTAGCCTACATGTTGACCCGACTTCTTAATAATATTCGTGCCAAGTTTGAAGTAAATCCATGCAGTACTTTTTGAGTATATCCCGGACATACATACAGACAAACACACAAAAATTCTAAAACTATATTTTTGGCTTCGGTATCGATTGTAGATCACACCCCAAGTATTCTTTTAAAATAATATTCGATGTACAGTTTTGACTTTCCTACCATTTTATTATATGTATAGATGTGACTGTTTGTATTTTGTAACTCAATCACGGAACAATTGCACAACGAATTTGATAGATTGATCGATTAATATTAGATACTTTCCGAACTCTAAAACGGAAGAAGTCGCGGGCGGAAGCTAGTGAAACCATTTTTGAAGTGAAACTTCTTTACGCACGCTTGACTTGAGGGGTAAACTGGCGAATGCGTTACGCGTTACGAAAAGTGTGTTCGGGCGAGGCGAACGGTAGTTGAGTGGGGGATATAAGCAAGAGAAAGCAGTGCGCATGCACATTTTCTTTGACTCTTTCTCTTATAGCTAGTAAATGAAATATGTATATTTATATACATGTAAATATTGTACACACACATATATATATATATATATATATATACTAGCGGCCCGCCCTCGCTTCGCTTCGGTGTAGAGCTGAAGTGTAGATTACAGTTTTTGTTCTCAGGCTTTTATTATACACAAAGACATTCATCTATGATTCTTCTTATACCTGCATGCAAAGTGTCAGCCCGATCGGTTTAAAATTGACAAAGTTTCATACAAACTTTCATTCCCTATTTTATCCCCTTGGGGGTAGAATTGATCAAAATCCTTTCTTAGCGGATACCTACGTTATAACATCTACCTGCATGCCAAATTTCAGCCCGATCCGTCCAGTGGTTTGGGCTGTGCGTTGATAGATCACTATGTCAGTCAGTCACCTTTGAGTTTTATATATATAGATATATACATACAGATGGAGCTAAAGAAGTTTCACTTCGGTCGCGTGGTCATAAGCACACTCGATATTTTTACTTTTGTGTAAGTACCAAGTTAATACCTACTCACCTAGTTGTATGTGATTTCATATGTCCTCTAAGTGATACGATGCTTGGGCAATATTGCTCACACAAATCACATAACAGCCAGCCTTTCTTCTGTACAAAAGGAAACATTGGGCATTTAATAAAACATTTATTGTATTTTATATTTTCATTTAAGTTTTGAACTAATTGGTTTAAATATACAAAGAAAGTTTAAACTAGAAAAAAGTTAATTCAATAGTCTAGCTATTCAAAGGGGACGCTGCCATCTTCGGAACCTTGCCTAAAGGGACTCCTTTTAATAATATATTTTAGGTATTATATTATACTAGCAAACCAGTGAACCAAATGTTCACCAAAATCTGATTTAAAAAAAATGTATTTAATTAATTGAGAACTTCGGAGATTTTGTGTGGTTTCGTTTGAAATTCGTGATTTCTCGAAAACCGGAAGTGGTACGTTACTCAAATCCGGTTTGTAGTCTTATCAGACTATTCTTAACTTATAACTTAAATATTCTCTTTATCTATCTCTTACGGTTTGGCCGCTGAAACAGCACCACAGACGGAAGGTTTTTAGTTTCGGGTTCATTGTTCTACTGTATATTTTAAATAGATTTTAATATGAATAGTTCTAACTGAAATCATATTTATTTATATACCTTATCAATAGGGTATTTGACAAGTTTTAGAAAACGATCTTACGTTATTCACTAATGTTACTGGAGTCCGTAAAAAGTGGATATTTATCATTCTGTTGCATATTTCAGTACAAATAACCAAATCAAAAACTCCATTTTCAAGTTGCTGCGAAAACGTTTTTCTGGACAATATGGCGTCTTACTAGTGTGTGACGTCATACGACTGATATTAAAACGTCAAACGATACAATGTAATGTAATAATGTAACGACAACAAATAAGTTAAGACGTCTCCAGAGGCGAGCCTGCTGTGCAATCACCGGCTGCATGAAAACCTCTCCTACATCAGCACTGGAGACTATACTTAATGTGAGACCACTCCATTTATTTATACAACAGGAGGCTGCTTGTACAGCCACTCGCCTAAGCATGCTGGGGCTATGGAGGGACAACAACTCTCCACATACCAGTATCTTAGCAGACATACACAGGCACTTTCCGTACTTTGCAGCAGTAAACGACCTTATTCCTAAGACGTACGTATTTGACAAAAAATATAAAATACAACTGTATGAAGACACTCCGGACCGCTGTTTGCACAAGGAGCTAAGGGTCTACACGGATGGTTCAAAAACCAACTGCGGGACAGGTTCGGGTGTCTTCTCCGAAGACCTAAATATACACATCTCAACAGCATTGGGAGCACATAACACAGTCTTCCAGGCAGAGTGTGTGGGCATCATTAGAGCCGCAGAGGCGATAGACTGCTGCGGGGTAAGAGGAAAACATATTCGTATTCTCTCTGACAGCGCTTCTGTCCTACAGGCACTAGACAACAATATAATGACATCAGGGTTAATTTACGAATGCCACTGTAAGTTATCCAATATTTGCAATGACAATAGACTGACCTTACAATGGATTAAGGGACACAGCGGCTCAAGGGGTAACGATGCGGCTGACTGCCTGGCTAGAGAGGGGTCCAGCAGGACGGCCTTTGGCCCGGAGCCAATTGTACCCATACCTTATCGACAGCTGAGAACCTGGATAAGGGAGCGCTGTCAACGACAACACGATGAATATTGGGTAAAACACACTGACTGCAGGCAAACTAGGGAAGCCGTTCCTAAGGTAAACCAGCAGCTATCACGTAAGTTAATCCGACTACCTAGACAAGCCCTGACTCACGGGTCACGGCTACTTCAACAAACACCTTTATAATATAGGTATTTCTGACAGCCCTCTGTGCAGAGCCTGCTTGGAGGAAGAGGAGACGAGCGCCCATGTTCTGCTGGAGTGCAGAGGCGTTGCAAGACAAAGGACTTCTCTAATGGGAAGCCCGCGGACACTAGTAGAAGCCTGCAGCAACATCCGGGGACTGCTGAGCTTTCTGGAGGAGCTGGGATGGCAGGACTGATGCCAATCCCCACGCAAAATAGGCACTGTGTGTCGAGTTGCGGAAACAGCCCGCCGTTCTACTAAGACTAAGACTAAGACAATGTAATGTGACGTCATTTTAGGCTCCGCCAATCCCAAGCGTTTTGGGTCACGTGACAATAGATAAGAAAACTATTATCTTTATCGTGGGTTTTTAGTAAAATTATGAATATTTTTGTTGTAAAAATAGTAAAAACCAATATTCATTCTAAACGCAGATGCTAACAATTGGAACTTTATTTTTAATACTGTCAAATACCCTATTATGTAATCCAGTTTTCGTCATTAAAATTACGATAGACATAAAGTCATTAAATACGTTTCCAATTTTCACCGCACACAGGCTCTTTATATAAGATTCAATATTATGGCAAAATGGCTCGTAGCGATAAGACCGCCAATAGGCTATTTGAAAGTATGAAAAATAAAGTACCAATTTTGGAATGTGTATTTAACATGAATATTGGGAGCACTTTCACTATTCTGATAAAAAAGTAGTTTATAAAATATTACTAAAAATCATGAAATAGAAAAGTACTTTTGAAACATTGTCACGTGACCGAAAACGGCTAGGATAGGCGGAGCCTACAATGACGTCACCTGCTTGTAAACATGCTGTCGGAGTAACATTACTTCGTACTGTTTAGCGGCTTTTAATGAGAGCCGTGTGACGTCACCTGTTTGTGAGCACGCCATGTTTGCAAGAGAAACGCTTTAGTGGTATATGTGAAAATAGAATTTTTATTTTCGTTTTTTGCTGATACACACAACAGTATTATAAATATCCACTTTTTATGGAGACACTACACACTAATTATTAATAATATATTTTTTTTAAGCATGTAACTGCTTGATGTTTAAATCTAAAGAAAATATAACTAGAAAAAAATCCACGCGGACCAGGCAGCAGACAGGACGGATAATAATATTTTCCACACTCACATCAATTAGCCTAGCCACAAAGTAAGCACTGTAAGGCTTGTGTTTTAGGATGCTATGATAACGGATACACTACATTTGATACATATATAAGTATATCTTTTATATAGAAATATATATAAGCATACATGAGATGCAGCCGGGATCAACGGCTCAACGTGCCTTCCAAAGCACTCGAGATAGAAGATTTTTGGTCACCGATCCAATGACCAATCACTGCGAAATTTGCGTAACTTCAACGATCGCAGCCGAACGCGCTAACCACATGCTTCATCGAGCTCCTCAATCATTTTGAAATTTTCATGTTTTTTTACTTGTATGCATGAGTCTGCATGACCTAAATAAGTGCATGTAAAAACTTATGTTGAACGAATAAATTAATAAAATAAATATTTCCAACACTCACACCAATTAGCCTAGCCCCAAAGTAAGCACTGTAAGGCTTGTGTTATGGGATGCTAGGGTAACGGATAGAATACATATACTATACATACATAAGTATATTTATATAGAAATACATATTAAACATCTTCATCACACTAACACCTGCCCCCACGGGGACTTGAACCCGGGACCTCTCGAGTCAATGACACCATGAAACCCGCCGTAAGAACCACTCGGCCACGGAGGTCGTCAAATACTGATTCTGTAATAATGTATTTAATATTTGCTTACCATAGCATGTTTCTCCATATGAGACTTGAGTACGTCTTCAAAGTTGAAACCCTTGGCACATTTCTCACATTTGTACAGGGACCTTAGGTACTCTTCGCTTCTTAATTTCTCTTCCATTTCTTTGAGAACCTGTTGATAAAATTTTATTGATTAGTTTACTGTTATAATGGTATCCATTCTGGCATGATTCTAAGCTAAACTTAAATTTGACAACAGTGTATCTCTGTCATTCTCTATACAGAATGAAAAGGAGAGACTGATGTTAAATTAAGTTTTAAGTTTAGAGAATCGCGCCATAATTGGCACCAATACGTCATTTAAGAATGGTGTCGATTCTGGCATGATTCTCTAAACTTAAAACTAAATTTAACGGGGTACAGGGTGTGAGAGAGGACTTTTTTTTGTGTGTGTATGCTGTAGGGTAAAATTTTGCACGAATTGCTTTAATTATCAGTATAAAAGTACTATCATGTATATGGTAGAATACAATATTTATTTATTGCGCTATCGTACACAAACATGACAATTTATATTACATTAAAAAGTTTATCTCTCAGAAAAATCAACTTACATGAATCTTGTTTAAGCGCACTTAGCGACATCTATTGTAAAGAAATCAACTTACATGAATCACATTTAAGCGCACCTAGCGACATCTATTGTAAAAAAATGCATTTTCTTCGCAATAAAGCTGCCACGTGGACGTCCTAGATAGAGACTTATTATTATAATACGATAAAATAAATTATTACTATGTTTCGTCCAATATATTGAAAGTCAACAACCTTTCCAATTTTATTGTGTGTTATGATGCGATCAGCCCACGTGTTTAACCTGACGCGAGATTAACATTTTTTACCCATACAAAAAAAGTGTACAACGCCGTTAAATAAGTTTTCACTTCAAAAAAAACAATAAACATAGCAACAAAAATAAAATAACAACAGTGAGCAACAATATGGAGAGAAAAAAGGCCAATCAGGACCCTGCCTCAGCTTAATGCTGGAGTAGGAAAGGAATATTCCCACCATAACAGCGCATTCTCTGCGCAGTTAAGCGGTATACCTATAAGTAATCTTATCGCATCGCCAAAGTTTCTATGAAAACAAAGCAGCGCCCCTAGCGGACGTAAGTACAAACTAGCTTTTCCTATACAAATTTTGACGATGACTATTCGATTACAGAGCTGTCAATATTTGTGTGGACCTCTAGACTAAAACCCAGAAAGAGATTAGAAGGGTGATCATAGACCGTTAGTATCGGAACCGGTGTCGCCGGCTCGCCCCCACTGCACTTCCATCTAATAGATAATAGCCAATCAAAGGCGCGACATCAAACAATCGAATCAATCAGCGCTTACTCACGAGAGCAATGACACAATGAGAACCAAGTTTTGGTCAAGTTATGAGCATTTGCTCACACGTTGCTTCTAACCTTTCTGTGACTAAACCACAAAAGTTAAAAATTGTTTTAATTCTTTTCACCTGCTCTTTGCTTAATTTAATGACAGTATATTCATCGGTCTCCTGCACCATTCTAGAAGTGAAACCTTCTCTAAGTGTCTTCTGCTTTGTACTTTTCTCTTCTTTAATTTCAACTTCTATATCATTAATTTCTTCCTTAATTTCTCCATTTGTCATACTGACAGAGTCTATATTGTTTTCGCTCTGAGAATTTGTTAAATTATTTTCTACTTTCACATTGTCTTCATTTTCTTTAGCCTGCAAATACATAAAATTTGTAATAATGCCGCAATTACATTTGGTCGTTAGCCTGTATTCGGATGCACGAAAAATACTATTCAAATTTAGGGACCTGAAGAAATATTTACACTGGCATATGGGCTGGAAGACTGTGTCAGGTAAACAAAAGGAAATCTATCAAACACCAGAGTATTCAACTCCATTCATTAACACTAAGGCCCATATTATAGAGAAATTTTCAGTGATTGATCTAGTCTTGAGCATAGTTAGAAAGGGATGTCGCTATATATATCGCTATTAATCAATATGTTCAAATTACAGTAAACTGTATTGTATTACATTACATTTAAAGAGTGGAGGGCTGATAACCTGAGACACGGGTTTTTTCCTAGTTTAGGTGTCAGCCCGCCATAATTAGATAAGTGACCTTTTTACTTAGTGTTTTTAATGGAATAAGAAACTGATTATGGTGAGAAATAAAGAATTATTATTATTATAGCACGTAGCGCCATCCCTTTCCAACTGTACTCAAGTCAAGATCGACACTTAGTTGTCATTCTGTAATACGGGCCTTAGAGTTCATTAAATGACGACCTCCGTGGCCAAAGGGTTTGTACGCCGAGTTTCATAGTGTCGCCTACTCGTGAGATCCCGTTTTCGAATCCCAGTGGAGGCAGATGTTTGTGTGATGAATATGAGCATTTGTACTGAAGACATGGATGTCTTATATGTATTTCTATAAAATATACTTATATGTACAATAATGTATTCTATCTGTTACCCTAGTATCCCATAACACAAGCTTACAGTGCTTACTTTGGGGCTAGGCTAATTGGTGTGAGTGCTGGAAATACATATTTATTTATTATTATTAATTTCGGTTACTTTTTCACCCTATTCAACATGGTGAAGTCAATAAGTAAAAAAGCAATTGCTGCACCATTCAGCACATTGCAGTCAATATCATCATCATCATCATCATGATCAGCCTATTAATGTCCCCACTGCTGGGGCCTTCCCTATGGATGGAATAGGGAGATAGGGCCATGACCCACCACGCGGGCCCGTGCTTCGGAAGGCACGTTAAGCTGTTGGTCCCGGCTGCATCTGCAGTCGTTAGCACCCACCAATCCGCAGTCAATATAATTACTTAAATTCCAGAATAATACCTCTCCATTTTTAACTGAGTGCCGTCGTTTTCTTTTCTTCTTCTTTACAAATTTATCTTCAGTCGTTAATTGCTCTGTTTTTAACATAACTAAGGGGACTTCATCGTCATCAACATAAATGTCATGATCAAACATAATATTCTCTGTATACAGAGTTTCCATACTGTTCTCATTAGCAAACTCTGCCAATTGCACATCTGACTTTCTCAGATCGTAAAGATTTCTTACTTCTAATTTTGTGTAAAATTGCATTTTTCTGTCCTGAAATAATGATACCGATTACTTATGATGTACGGGCAGATTCTTTAGATTTACAAATCTAGCAATTCAATGTTCAAAAATAAATATACATAATAGTTTTTTTATATCAAAAATAACAGGTAAAGTTATCTGTAACTGAAAAAAATCTACAAATTACTTTGAGCTTTAATGCGCATTATAAAGTTTCACAAATTATTGAAAATTTTTACTGTATCACTTTAATTACATTTTGCAGGGCTGTAGCCAAAGTTGTTTAGTTTAAGATAGGGCAGTGGTAATTACAGGTTTATGGTAGCTCAATGGTATTTAAAAAATATTGCACCATAATGCCCCGACTAACTATGGCCATGTCTTGTTAAAATACAATACAATTTTCATATAAACATACCTCTTTCTCAGCTTCATTTAAAATATCATATGCTATTTGGCATTGCTGCTTAAACTTATTGAATTTCTTTAATAAATGAGCACATAGATTGCAAACTAAAGTGGGCATTGATCCACTGGTAAACTGTAATATAAAAAAAAAAACATATTTACGTGAAAGTAACTTTCTCAACAGAACAGAAAGAAGACAAACTAAGAACGTGTCAGAGAGGCATGGGGAGAAGTATTCTTGGATACAGAAGGAGTGACAAGAAGAGAGCTACCAACATCAGAAAACTCATTAAAATTGAGGATGTCATTCAAAAAAGTAGACAACTCAAATGGAAGTGGCCAGGTCACGTCACAAAAGATTAAATAGGGAAGTGGACAAGGAAGACCATGGAATGGATCCCCAGAAAGAACACTTACCATAAACGTGGACGACAGCTGAAAAAATGGTCGGATGACATAAGAAAGGTAGCTGGCCGGCTATGGCTAAGGTTAGCAAGGGATAGATCAGGGTGGAAAAGGCTGGAGGAGGCCTATGTGTCTGCAGGACACGCTGAATTATAAGTAAAGGTTAACAATGTGTTTTTTATGTAATTATCAGCAATAAAGGCTTTTGTATTTGTAACTTTCTCAACAATCAGTTTTTACTATACTTGGCTAGTATTTTGATTAATTCATACGATCTTTCAGCTGATAAAACTGTCTATATTATAGTCAGCCTAATTTTCTAGCATGAATTAAAGAAAATACTATAAATAAACATTTTACAGAAATCCATTTTTAATCACAGACACAACGAAATAAAGATGAAAAATTTCCAGAACAAGAAGCACGTCAATAAAAACAGCAGAAAATTTACGAATCTCTGAACAAATTATTAGCAAAAACATATAGGGTACTTAACCTTATTAACAAAGGTTCGGTAGAAGTTTATCTCGTCTGCATTCATTTGGTGGACATCTTCCCGCATTCTGAGGCAACCCCAGCATATATTTAGCAGCTCAGTTCTTGTTGAATTATTAAACTCAAACATTGCTTGCTTATTTTTATAAACAAAAAAATATCAACAAACAAACCGAGAAACCAAACAAACACTATGGAATTCTTTTTAATGTCAAGTAAAACACTATGAAATTAAACTGTCAGTTGTCAATATGTCATTTTTTTATGAAAGGCGAAGAATACATACTCCAACATTGTTAGACTAACATCTTCCTTTTTACCCGACTGCGCAATGCAAGAGCGCGAAGCACAACGCGCAGACAGGGTATAGTGTTTAATTTTTACATTGGAATCTATTGAAATGTGGACATGGGCGTGGTGTGACATATTCTTATTTTCCTTAGCGTTTGGCCATATAGCAACTCGGCTGATATAGCCAGTCAGTGGCGTAGCGAAGTGCGGGCGCACTTCATTGGAGGCGGTAAAATTTTACAATAAATAATAACAATATTTCAACAATTTAAATAAGAGGGCGGCAAAATTTTCCTACGCCCTGGGCGGCCGACACCCACGCTACGCCCAGTGTTTGGCACATATCTCTTTTGCTTGAATTTCACATGATGATTCACCTTATTGGCATGGCAACCATGGGGCCCATGGTCCCATGACACACATCCCGTGGTCACAGCCATAGAAATAGGATGTCTCAGCCAAGTCAACGGTTCTTTTTTTTTATAGCATGCGCGGTTTGTGCGTTCAGCCAAGTCAACGGTTAGCAACATAGGATAACACCACTTCACAGACTATTACATGCTTACGCACCACCACGTAGACCCTGCAGTATTTTTAAGATTTCGTACCCAAAGGGATGACAAACAGAAACTTATTAGCATGCCTTCACCGTCTGCGTATCTGTCCATCGCACGGGTAGTCCATCTCAACGCAAATAATGAGTGTCTATTTTACAGTATACGTGTCACTGGTGTCGATTCTGACATGATTCTCTAAAGCTAAACTTAAATTTGACAACAGTGCATCTTTGTCATTTTCTATACAGAATGAAAGGGAAAGACTGATGTTAAATTTAGTTTTAAGTTTAGAGAATCACGCCAGAATCGACACCACTATGACCGTTAACAATAATTGATATTAAAAAGGGCTATATCTGTATCTTAATTTGTAAGATGGTTGTAGTTGGACGGTTTTTATTTGTGTTTATCATCAGTTTGTGGGTTGCTTTAAAATTAAATAAATACATAATTTATGTACTTAAATCACTGAACACTGCGAAACACTGTTTAGAGGATATATATTTGATAACTATAAGGTAAATTAAAAGCAGACGAGTAGTGTCAACAGTTTAATATAGTCATAATAATTGAAATCAGTTAATAATTATTTAACACATACCAAGTAAATATTACAATAGGCAAATTCTTTTTCTAAGAATGTGTAGGAAAAATTATTTAGATGTACTAGCAAAATGATTATGAATAAATCAGATAGATAATTAAATAAGAAAACATTGGTGTCGATTCTGGCATGATTCTCTAAACCGAAACTTAAATTAGACAACAAGTGCATCCCTGTCATTCGCTATACAAAATGAAAAGGAGAGACTGATGTTAAATTTAGTTTTAAGTTTAGAAAATCACGCCATAATCGACAGCATTATCTATATTCACAAACATTATGGAAATGATTACAAATTCTCTAATAGCTCATTTAAAGCAATTTCAAAGGTTGCAAACGCGTTGCTGCCAAAAAATCTCGGCGGCGCCAGCTCGTAAAACGTGACCACAGAAATCCAGAAATTAAATCTAAAGTCAAGGGTTATCCTACAATAAAATAATAAGGTAAGGAACAACAATCAAACAAGTCTTATTCTCTAATGCTTATCCACACCTACGTGACGAAGGCAAGGGTGGTTTTGGTACTAAAACACGCTACAATTTTAGCGTGTATTAGTACCAAAACCACCAATAAATTATCGGGCTAAACAAACTTATAAATAATCAGGCTGCCTCTCCATAGACGCTAGGCAATAGCTTAACTGGCGACAATTTGAAAACTCTTTCAGGGTTGTTTAAAACAAAAATAAATGGATGTGCAACTGAGGGATTTTATTTAAGCAGCTTAATTCAAAAATCGAACGCTAATTTTTAGCGCTTTTAGTACTAAAGTCACATATCACAAGCTTCGTTGTGCAGGTGTGGGAAAATCATAACATTAATGTTGAAGATCAAAGTGATGTAAAAATAACGCTGCCACATAATGTACCCACAATTCGTTAAGAAAACTGACTAAACACGAAAAATACACAATAAAAATAAATATAATTACAGTTATTGCTTAAAAATTTATAGGTACATGTACAAATTATTACGCAATCTTAAATAAATTAAACTAAAAAAATCCATATACACACAGGTACTTACCAAAAAGCGCGACTGTTGGCGTCTTTTCGGCAGATGTAAATTTAGTTATGAAAAAGCTGAGAACATTTTATAGTATAAAATAATGGCTCAGTTCCTGATGCACTATTCATAATTAATAAATGCAATCACTTTACTACCCGTTCGAATCGAGGTGGTCGTCAATGACCGTTACAAATTGACGTCACCGCCACAAGCCAATCACAGGCACATCATCTGGTACCGTCAACCAATAGGATCGACTACTAAGGTCTGTCTAGGAGCGCGGTGCAGTGGGGCAAGGTTAGGGGGGAGCGGCCAACTCGATGCGATTACGTTGATGCTCCTGCATCCCTACTTATCCTCCATCTCAAAGATGTGACTATTTTAAGTTTTTATACAATTATTACATTCATATATATATATATACATCATTTAACTATCATTACTTCGATGCTACTTCATTCATAGTATGATTGCATTAATGCGAATGGGTTTTTTATCCGAATTCAAATTTAATAAGAGTAAAAACAGTTTTGCGAATCTTTTTAAATTTTAGCTGCTTCCCTTATTTTAAATAACTTCTAAAATTGAAAACATTTGAGCAAAGAGAGTGCATGCATGAAGCGATTATTTCCGGCGCGCAAAGCTGTTTTATTTCAGGGTGGCTACACATATAATCGGGCCTGCTTTGATGGCACAGCCTGGTGGTAAAATCGAATATGTGCATTATGGCCCGATTATGTGTGTAACTACCTTCAAAAACTCACGATTTCGCAGCTTTCTGCGGCCCCGCAACCGCGGCGGCTACAATATCAGGCAAAACCCACAGCGTCCGAGAGTGATCGCGTCACACAAACACTCGCGCGCTCTACGCTAATTTCGCATTCTATACGAGTTGCGGTCACGCAGCCGCGGCGGGCGCGGGAGAATATCGCGCCGTGAGTTCTTTGCCAAAGAGATATGACTTGCGAATTTAGTGTGATATTTATCTCGTGTACGTAAATACGATTTTTAACGAGCGATTAGAAAAAATAGAACGTCTGGACTATATATGCAGCGTCATCCAAAGTATGAAAGATTACATAAATTAAATTTATTCGAATTAAAAGGTCAACTAAAGTTTCGTAGGATATAAATCGGTGAGATCTATTATTTTCGTATTATTATCAGATACTTTGATGGATGTTTTTTCATCCAATTTTCTCATGACCAAAGTGTTGGGGCCCGTTTTCCTTATCTCCATGATGTTGTTGCAGTTTAATACTTTCTCGAACCATACCTGGTTGACTTTTTTCTGGTCGCAGTACGGCAACTTCGCTTGGAGGTTAAAATGCTCTTTCCGTATGTGAAGCCAAAGCTTCGTCATGTTTGCGCAAGTTTCGGTGCACACTTCACACTTCTGCAAGGATGAGTTTGGCTGTATTTTTTGAGTACCACTTTTGCTAATAGACTCACTTATTTGTGGTTTTATTTCTTGATCATTCAATTTTGGTGATTCACCCTGCATGCCAGGACCTGTGATTGTTTTGTCGTGTTCAGCATTTGTGTTTGGCTCACTGAAATAAGGATGACACATTAAGAAAAAAGAAAGAAAATTAAGAAAAAAGTAGCTGTTATTCCATCACATACGACGCTTGATGAAGAAAGTGAGGAGGAACAAGAAGATTGCAAAGAACATGAGATTCCTCCTACTAAAGATGTTTTATGTGTTGTATCTAAGCTCAAAAGATATTGTTTATTTGGTGATGGAAAGGATATTATAGACATTAAACAAATTATGAAAATAGAATATGACCTACAACGTGCATTAGCTCAAAAAAAGAAATTAAAGCAAAGTGATATTACACAATATTTTAAATGCACCAATGATTAACTGCATGTGCAAATACTTTCAACAATAAATGAATGGAACTAAACAGTGTGTGTGTCTGTACACCTATGGCTTCTACGACTCCCGGATATAACTTCATTGTCGTTATATCCGAAATCCACTGTAAATTTATTTAGCTTTTTTGAAATCTAATACAGTCACAAAATCAAAGAGGTAAATACTGATGTGTTTGTGATTTTATAGGAATTATTATTGTAAAACACGTTTGTAATATGTATAATAGAGTAATATAATTTAAGAGGTAATTGTTTCTTAGATTTTCACGCACATCACTCATTATATAAAACTAGTTTTGACGGGTTAATGCACAAAACTATATATATTTATTGACGTTTCGCAGCCTTTTCAGGTCTGCATCGTCAGAATACTGATTTTTTTATTTAATTTTGTCGAGCTACCTTTGAAAAAGCTGTGAAACGTCAATAAATAAATAAAGTTTCGTGCATTAAACTGTTAAAATTAGTTTTATTTAAGTGGAAACTTCCAGAGTTTTTTCTATCGAGCAAAATGGCAAAATTTTCTAATCATGTTTTGGAAACAGTCCCCCCATCACACATGCGTTCATTAATATATATTCAAAATTTCAGTGTGAAATATCGTCAATATTTTAAATAACAGCTAATAGAAAACAGGCGATTTTGCTGTTTTCACTTACTAAGAACTCATAACATCCACGCGCCCGCCATCCCCCGTGGTTCGCAGCTCATGCATTGTAGCACTTAAGTATGCAACTATCTTACAATGTTAAATTGAAAGAGGTTATGCTTGAGTTGACATTTGACAATTAACCTGCTGATTTCTTCAAGAAGTTTCTACAGGTTTTTTAGATACATGATAAAAAAAACAATTAAGGGTCAGTATACACTGAAACATGCATGCGCGACTCGGCATGCCATTGTCAAGACAGATAAGCAAGTCATTATAAAACTTAATTTATAACACAAAAAGATAAGACATTTCATTGAGTGGAGTAGCTTATGCCGCAGGGCAAATTCTTTCAGTGCAATATCTTGTTGTGTAAAAAAGTTTTGTTTTGTATCACTATCTTGAAAACGGTGGTCTTCGTCACATTCCAGTGTGAAGTATAGTTTTCTCATTAGATATAATTTTTAATATGAGCAGAAAATACTTAGATAAGAAAAACAAATTATCGCACAATTTGGAAGGCTTTAGAGAAGGCCTATGCCTAAAAGCAAGACTATCTAGAAATGTTAAAAAAAAAAAACAAATATCAATAAGGACTTGCATGGTAAATACCAAACAGGGTGGTAAAGGTAAATATTATTAAAAATATACTTAATTTTTTATAACAATAGGATTGAAGTCTCACCTTTGTTCACTATGATCTCTATTTATATGACGTAACAAAAGTGTCCTGTTTGGGTAAAGAACTTTACAATGTTCACAAGTTAACATTTGTCTCCATTTTTCTATTCTTGTAATAGTTGATTTGGTACACTTTCTTAGGTGATCAGTTATGTATCGTCGCTTTAAGAACTTTTTGTTGCACCAATTACATATAAAGTAAGCATTTAGACCACTAATGGAGTTGGACAGCGCTTTCTTACGTGGCATATTTAAAAATATCTAATTACACTAACATAGTTCACAATAAAATTCATTGATCAAGAAAAATAAAAACCATTTTGCAATGTTTTGACTTTGTTTTTTTTAATTTAGTTTTTTCTATTTAAGATTCCTTTTTCAGAGAAGGCAAAGGAAACAATGCCCATACAGCCAAGTCTTAAGTTATTTTAATCTTATTTTTTTTACATTAGAATGTTAGTGTGACTCATTCTAATGTTACTTGACTGTTCCGATAAGCTTCTGTGAGGTAGTCAACACTACCATAAAGTTCTCACGTTCATTTGACTGGAATAGCGTATATTTTAAAGATTCCATTCAGTTGCGCAGACGGTTGTTAGTGTTGTAACACAAAATCACACCAAATTTATTTCACAATATCCACTATGAACGAATTTAAGAATTATTAAAATAAACGCCAACCGCATTCGATGAAATCCCGCCAAAAACTTATTTTTTTATATAATTTATTCATGGTCATGTCTACAAACTTGGTGCGACTATAAATACTACTCTTTGGGTACAAACATAGTTGCAATAATGTTACCAGTATAAACAAAAAAAAAACTAAACTAATATTCAGTTAAAATAATACAAAAAATGTTTATATTTTTATATAGGAACTTTTGTTAGGAAAAACTCTGGACTAGCAGACTGCTTTTTTTATTTTTATTTTCTCATGCAGTCAATATTTAAACTGCATACTTTCTCTATACGTGATTTTGTCTTAAAAAAATTAGTTTTATTAAACAAAAACATATTTTAACATGGATGGCGGAGGAGAGCGGTGCGCAGATACTCTTGCAAAAACCGTGCGGGCGTACCTCCATTTGACCGCGTACCACGAAGTAAAACAATCTCGAAAATAAAGTTTAGTTTAGTGTTTGATGGCCCGGGAGTGGACCAGGAGTGTATGCGATTGACAGGGAGCGTCCGCACTGGGCTCATTCCACACGGGGTCCATTGCACACTGGGCCCCTTCCTCATTGGGGCAATTCCGCACTCAGCCCATTCCCCACTGATTCCACTAGAGAAAGTAACCACTCTGTTTTAAGTAGTTTAGGAAGTACCGACTCCTAAAAGGAAGTGGTTACTTTCTCTATGGCTGATCAAACTGGTGCCCCCTAGCTGTCAACCAGCGGTCGGCATGTCGTAAGCGCGGTGTCACCTATACATAACAATTCCGAATGCACTGGAACTGCTTACATATAGCAAATCCGAACGTACCCGCGCCGCCGGACCACCTGTACCGAAATAATAATAATTAGGCAGTACAATTGATGGTACAAATAGTACAGATTTATTCCACTAGTACCATTGATGGAACAAATACAGAGATGTGACTTAACTAAGGTATTTCAAATACTTTTTGAAATTTATTTTGTATCTGGTATTTTTACTTTTTTTCAGTATCTTAATATTTTAAACATACTTTTTTTTCTAAATTACTTATTTTTATTTCCTATATACATAATGTTTAACATTGATTTTAAAATGCATGCATTGTTGTAACATAGCATGCTCTAAGAACATAGCACGTTACTAATACCATTCTAAGCGTAAGTGCTTTACTTTTTTATCAATTTTGTTCACCGTGAAAAGAAAATCATAAGTTCATATGTTTGCGTTTCGTTCACCTTAATGTTATGGCTTAGATGGTAGTGAACAAAAAAATTGTGTGTGTCAGCTCCGACGCACGACTGGAGTAGCTACGGGCAATACGGGCATGTCAGTAGCCGTCTCGTTGTGGCCGTAGGCGCAGGTTTTTTGTTTTGATTTCGTCAAGGTCAAGTTTTTCAAGTTTTTTTTTTTTTTTGTATTTAACATGGCACGATGGGGAAATGAGAGAAATATACAGTTCATTCATTTGTACAGGGAATACGAATGTCTTAAGAAGCCAACTAGCTCGTTTTACAAAAACAAAATAGCACGTCTCAATGCCTACAGCAAAATACAAGAAGAATTAAATGCTAGTAACAACACGATTTTGTTTAATTCACGTCTATTGTTATCCATATTTGGCGCGCAAGAATAGGTAGGTACGAGTGACTCTCACGAACTGTTCTGTGTATACGCGATGGTAATACTGGCATGCAAGGGCACAACTTCAGTTCTACTTGCAAATGTATCCGCAGTGTGCCAGTTACTCGTACATGCCAGTAACTTTCATGCCAGCTACTTTCCCGTTTTACTGACATGTATATCCCCAGCCTTAATGATTGTACGAATTATTGTTTTAGTGTAACAGTAAACTGATTAAATGAACTAATGAATGGCAGCAATGGAGAAATTCATGCATATTTAAAAAAAAATCAGAAATTTTTGGCGGGATTTCATCGAGTGTGGTTGGCGTCTTATTTTAATTATTCTTAAATTCGTTCATAGTGGATATTGTGAAATAAAATTGGTGTGATTTTGTGTTACAACTGTCTGCGTAACTGAAGAATTAGTAGAATCGTCAAAATATACGCTATTCCGGTCAAGTGGACGTGAGAATTTTATTGTAGTATAGACTACCTCACAGAAGCTTATCGAAAAAGTCAGATACATTTCGTGCCAAACACTTCAAGAAACATTAGAATACGTCACACCGACATTCTAATGTAAAAAGAAAAACAGAATAATTTAACTTAAGACTAGGCTGTATGGGCAATGTTCCCCTTGCCTTCCCTGAAAAGGGAGAACAACCAAAAAAAAAACAATTAGACCTGGCAACACTGAGTTTTGCTGTCTGTCACAGATTTTTTCTAATTTGTTTCTATAAAAAAAGTGATTATAGTTGTTATTTTCACAGGTTGTTTTTACAGGCTGATTATCACATAATAATAAGATAAAGTGGTCACTTCTTCCCCTACACAATAGGTACCTCTAATAACAGTGGTTATGTGCATTACAGTGCATTAAAATGGGAAGAAATAAAATGATAGCTAAAAGTTGTCCCAAGTGTGAAATGCAGGTCTGGTATTTTTTTGTTTTATTAAAATTATAACACTGTCAGTGTTTTATTGTCTTATATTTCGTTTCGTCATCGACAAGCTCGAGATTTTGATTCATTTTGTAGGTTGCCGTGGCATCGAAGTCATGTAAATGTGGACATACATTTTTTGCCTCACGTCGTGGTGCTGATCATTTACCAGCCGTTGAGGATACCAAAAGGAGGACTGGCCGTGTGAGACGCTCTAAAACGCAGTTCTATGATGCTCAGCACTATCAGAAACAGATAAAGAAAAGGGTAAGTTTGATAATTTGCTTTAAATTAGAACAATATATATGATATGTGTGTAGATTAAAATTCAATAGAGCTGACGTGTCTGTCTTTGATAAAAGGTCTTAGTAAATAAAAAAAACAAAAAAGTTGTAACTTCTTCTTCAGCCTTGTTTTTAGGCCATTTTGGTGTAGGCCTCCCTCAATAATTTCCATTCAATACAGCATTGTGCTCTCTGTATCCAATTCGAGCTTGCAACATTCTTCATGTTATCCTTCCAGTGCATCTGTGGTCTTTCTTGTAAGCACTTTTCCCGTATAGCTTCCATTCTAGGAGACGTTTGCACTAAATTTTTTTTTGTTCAAGCTACATGTCCAGTCCACTTCCATTTAAGCTGTTTTTTACTTGTTTCTTCTCATCTGCGACTTTGCTTTGTTCTTGGAGCCATTTATTTGTTTTGCATTCCATTAATGTCATTCCAACCAGTTTTCTCTCTTTCAGCCTCTCTTTTGTAACTTACCTAAGAGATTTACCATTACTGTAGTCCTGCGGTAATCCGGATCCCGTCTAATATGGCGCCCCTTGTAGTCCGACATGCTTATCACTTCTGTATTGCACATACAATCAGTTGAATAGATTTGTAATTTATTGGATTGCAAGGTACTCATATTCCAAAAGTTCCGGACTATAGAGGGTGGTATTATACAGTACTCTGTAATCTGACAAATTCGATAATCCAACATCACCCTGCAAAACGTTTGTCGGATTACCGCAGGTCTACTGTATTGTAAGCCTATTGCCTGTGCTGTGAGACATGTTCCGTGATCCAAATAGTCCTGTCTCTTGTCATGGCTTAATTCAGCTACCGACTCAGGACAAGAACCAGAGCATAGAAGTAATGTTATGATGTTTGAGCAGACACTACACAATAGGCAACATGAATGAATAGATTTCCAAAAAAGTATAACCCATTTAAAAAGTATTATAATTTCTTGAATGGTCTTTCAAATTTAAAAAAAAAAATGTCATTTTTTTATGTTCCCAGGGCCTTCACACTAAATCCGGCCCTGAATGTAGTTAAATTGTATTTTGGATACTGTTATGTATTTTTTCAGTTTAATTAGGAGTAATTCTACAGGATATTTGACACTTAAATGTTAATGATGTTCATAATAATTAATCATTAGACTTTAATGATCTATAATGATACCTACTCATGATACCATTAGTAAATTTACTTAATGACAAGTGTTATCAAGTTAGCAACAGCTTGAGAAAAACTTTCAATTTCTTCTTCTGAATTCTTTAGTCCAACATGCAACCAGGTTACAACAGTTGTGGTCACTGGGCGACAGAGGACAATCAGTCACTTAATGACCGCAACCGATATAACCAGGAGGCCTACTCTAAATCAACAAAAAACAAAATTTCAACGAAACAGCACTTTTCTTACTATATTTGTAGTTTTTTTTTAATTATAATAATATTCGTCGTCGGAATATAGATTGATGTGTAGATTTTTCACCTGGTGTCGAGTTGTGTCTAAACCTACTCAAAAAAAGCTTCGATTTGATAGTTTATCTTTTAAATATAACCTTAAATTGACGAAATTAAATTTGGTTCAAACTTCGTTATCAAAAGTTCGTTTCGAAGAAAGAGAGTAGACCCCCAAGGCCTTTTTAAGTCTCAAGCACTATTTTTTGATAGTTCAGTAACTTATTGCCAGCGTTAAATTTTGTATGGATTCCTCCATACAAAATTTAACTAGTTTCTTCTTGTGTCTGATAGGGGCGCTGTTTAGTTTTCAAAGAAACTTTGAAGATGTGATACGTTACAGAGCTGTCAAAAATTCGTGCCTCAAGAAGCCCTCTTGAGGCCTGAGGTAATGGTTAAATTTGCGAAAAAAGATGATTTCACCAATTTTACCTTTTTTGCCCTCAAGGCAAGATTTAGCATTTATAAGTTTTCACCAACGATATTAAATACCCTAGATACACCACGAGCGCTCAAAATGTGTCCCAATCAAGGAGTGCTGGAACTCCACTCAAGCACTTCTTGGTTCACAGTCACGCGCGGACCGTTGAAAATATGCCGCAGAGCTCCGTGAAAAAATGCGAAATAAATACTTATAGTACGTAAAGCGTCATTTTTTCGACAGGTATCTAATCAATGTTTGTTAATTTAACGCATTTGAAGCAAATTTACTTCTAATATTTACTATAAACTGATTTAATATAAAATATTTGTGATATTCGAATGCATGTTCGGTTATTCGCTATGTGCGAAGTACATGGTGGGGGTATTGTGAAACGATCGCAGCGCTTATCGTGGCAGAAATACGCAACAATCTGGGAAAGTAAAGTCAATTTGCACGGAGTTCGTAATAAATAAATTTTTTAAAAAGCCTAATAATAGATGTTGTTGTGTTGTGAACTGCAAAAATAACGGCACAAATAGTCTGTGTTTATATTTCCTACATTGGACTGGAAATTAAATCAAAGAAATAAGTGGATAGATGCCATAAAAAGAAATAAGTAAGCGAAATAACCATAAATTATGATCAATTTTATTTGCGCTATATTTTATGTGATATTCATTATTTTCTTTATTATTTTAGTGTAGATGGGTCACCATGGTATCCCAAACCTGACGACACAATTTGTAGTGAACATTTTATGGGAAAAAAAATCAGACGAGGAAGAAAATCCGAGTTATGCTCCTTCGAATATTCCCTGAAATATATCGAAAGAGGAAGGTTAATGATTCACAGGTCCTAGCTAGATATACACACTTGACAAAACGATGAACCACAAAGTCTCAGATACCACATCAAGTCAAATAATAATTAAATCAAGCTCAACCTTTTATGGTCGATCAAGTATGTCAAGTCAATATGTTTTCTGAATCGAAATTAAGAGATACAATTTTTATTTGTATTAGATTAATTTACAACGATCACTGTGATGCTGAAATCCAAGCAGATATAGCAACACCAAGAATTTTAATGACAAATAATTTAAGAAATAAAGATAAAAGCTGTGGCACTGACAAAAAATCGTATGAGGATCAATCTACCGAAACAAAAAGTCAAGAATTTGTTGGTATTTCATCAATAAAAAATGATCAAGAACTCCTAGATCTTGCTGGTGTGTCATTTAGCAATTTTGAGTTTTTATTAACTATAAAAAACTGTACAGTTTCCACTAAAGACCGACTTCTGATTTTTTTGATAACAATGAAAACTGGCTTGACATTTTCAGCATTGAGTGTGTTATTTGGTGTACACAAAACCACAATCTCACGTATATTTCATTCGATCTTACAAAATGTAGCTTGTTCAACTGCTAATTTAATCTTTTGGCGGAATAGAGCCACCGTACAAGCAACAATGCCCAAGTGTTTCAGTCCAGATTACATCAATACAAGAGTTATTATTGACTGTACTGAATTCCGAATTGAAATCCGACAGTATTTAAATTATTATACAATATATAATATTTTTTATTTATCTTTAATTTACTATAGTTACTAGAAATCAATAAAATACAAACTGATGTCATTATTTGGCATAATCCCGGAAAGTTGCGCATTGTAGGTGGCGCTACTGTCGTGCACATAGCGAATACGTCGCCGTATAGCCGTCTCTTTTCCTCGCGACCCGTACCCGCTGTATTGCTAACAGTGCATTCAGAACTGCGCGTAGAAGTAAAAGAAATAAGGTCTATTCTTCCGCATATAACAATAAGTCGTAAAATTTTGCGAGTTTCCATTTCGAACTGTCATAAGTCTTTGACGCATGCGGTTTAACTAAGACCTTATACAGTACTTGTTAAAGGTCACTTTCAATGTTTAAATAATGCCTTTTTTTTTGACTACGCGATCATCTTACGGAGCTCCGTGGATCGTTCGTGTTGGTGTATCTAGGGTATTTAATATCGTTGGTTTTCACATGAAAACTTTATGTCTTCACATTATGTCTCAACACTATAATATTTTTTGTTATTAGCGGGATTGCTACCATGTACCTGTTGCAAGCGCCATGATCACAGAGTAACTGAAATAATTGCGGGTAGGGTGTTATTGGCAGACATATCGGTCCATCCACCCTCCGACAAAGTATTTTATTGCGCTCGCTACCCGTACCACGTTCACGTTCTCAACATTTTCTCGCACCAATAGGCTAGTTGACTCAGGTCGAATTGTATTAAATAAATGTTTATTTCTTAAAGTATTTTGTCCAAGGAACCTAAATAATATATCGATTTCACTTCATAAAAGCAGAAGATTGCTGTAGAAATTTAATTTAAAAAAACAATTTTTAGTCTATACTTTTTAAACACTAAAAACGCTGTTCGCCACATCCGCCATGATTGTGACGTCTGTTTTAGTAAACAACTAAATGTCATTCATACATAACTTGAAAAACTTGTATTATTAAAACTGATAATAAATGAAGAGACTTAAAATATTATTCAATGAGTATTTACATCAAAGTGATCTTCGCAAAAATAAATTTTACTATGAGTCGTTAAAGTTGCAGGATCCCTTTTAGCAAGTTCTAACCAGATATTGCGTATGTTAATTTCTTTCGGCACTTTAATCCACAACTTTCCTGGAGTCTTCGAAGATTTTTTTTTTACATTCTCGTACAATACAATAATAATAATTACTATATTTTTCGTGATATCTATTAGAAATCATGTTTTCTTTTTATTATAAACTCAGATGGGTTATTTTCTACGTGCTTACGAGTTTTTGTTTACTACTGTCAACGTCATAGCATAGATAATCTATAGACTAAAATGGCCGGCAGCGTTTTTGTATGTCCATGAAAAGTCTATTTTAAAATTAAAGATTTGTAGCTTTCTAGGTCTCAAAAAAATACAATACATTTTTTTCGGTCTAATAGTACATTTATTAACCATTTAAAACCATTTTCCAAAAAGGGTCAACTAGCCTATTCTAACAGTATCTGGGAGCCAATCGCCTAACTGGATTGTTATGGCTATCGCTATCGCTTACAAATCGTAATAACGAAATGTAATCGTAATCGCTTACATTTCGTTATTTCTGACCGCCAAAGGCTTTGAAATGCCTGGCGCTCGTTTTTTTATGCATTGGTAATAAATATGGTCAGATCTAACAAAATGAACAAATCTTTAGCGATACCGATAGCCATAGAAATCCCGTTAGGCAATTGACCCCTGCTCGGAAACTACAGTTGTTGTATTTTTGTGGTTTTTGCACATACGAACTACTGGATTCCAGACACTCGACAATTTAAACCCGTTCCTCTTTATGTCGCCGCACACAGGCCACACGCCACAGCTACAAACGCCGCCGAGAAGCTAGAAGCGGCTTCTAAAGTGGCTGAAGCGCGCGACAGCGGCCGACTAAAGGGAGAGAGGGGTGGGGAATCGCGCGAGTGACGTGTGGTGGCGTTTTGTATCGGCCCATTAAGTGGTCGGTGCGGACCACAAGAAGCGAGCAACGACGATTTGTAGCGTGTAGCGGCCACCGGCGTATCGTGTGTGGAGAGTCCATATAAAGTATGAAAACTACAAGAAATATGCCGGGTGGCGGCGTTTTGTGGTTGTGGTCGGTGGCCTGTGTGCGGCGACACTTATTGAAACAGTGGATCTCAAATGTGCCTCAGGGAAACGCAAAAACAGGGTATCCCGCCAATAACAAAAATTATTATAATGCCTTTACATGTTTTGCACGTTATGTCTCAACGTCAACGCACTGCGCCGCAACTAGGGTTACTATTTAAAAATTTGAAACGTCCTGACAAAAAGTCCGGACATTTTAGTCTCAAAATGCGAACATCACCCACTTCGTAACAGTAATATTATACGCGTGGTAGCAGCCTAGCCGCTCGCATCGCGATTTGCTGAAAAATATATGACTTATTTGATATAACTTAACAAGTAGTTTTACTCATATTCCATCTAATTAAAAAAAACCGGACAAATGAAAAAGTCGGACAAAGTCCGGACACATGGCAAAAACTCCGGGCATGTCCGGACAAATCCGGACGGATGGTAACCCTAGCCGCGACACCCCACTGTTCCACGTTGACAATGTCCGACGTGTCGTAGAAATGTGGGCAGGGCCTTACTATAATCATTTGTTTCAGTCCCCCAAGAAGAGATCACTGTCGCATTCATTGGATTACGATTACAAAGGAAAAGAAAAATCGGAAAGTGGTAATTGACTTTGATTATTCTATTAGCTATTACTTACTGAATATGATAATTAATCATAAGGTTTCTGCTTGTCATTAACAGCGAGATGATCCATAATGAGCCATCAATTTTCCTTGTCGATAGTATTCTATCGATAATTCTCCCTATTGGGAGATCGAGCCATGGCCCACCACACGGGCTCAGTGTGGATTGGTGGGTGTTAAGAGCGTTCGCGAGCTGAGAGACATTTGAGAAATAGGTATTTAAAAAAAAACTATTGCTGTTACGCATTGGCAAATACCGTGCGATGGGGACAACAGTAGTAAACGCTGAAAATTGCGTATAATAATTGCAAAATTCGAGGTTGGGCTCTCGACGATTTCCTCCTCGAAAGTTAAGGTACAATTTCGCAATGGGCTGCAGACGAAAACTGCAGGCGAAACTGCGGCTGACCGCAGTGCTGCCTGCGGTCGTGGCAGCTTCTATTCAGAACGCGGCGTCCTTTTTTTCTTGATATTTAAACACCTAGCAGTTACATGCTTAAAAAATACAAATATATATAGGGTTTTTCAACAAGAACTTTGTTTTCTAAAACAAAAAATTTAGATGAAGATGATTAATTTTTTTATTGAATTACAAAGAGTAAAGTTCGGCAATTATGAATAAAAAATGATATCTTGCAAATGTCCACCACGAGCACGCTGACAGATGTCGATTCTTTCATCAAAATTTTTAAATCACTGTTTGGCAAAATGGCGGGACTATGTCGTTAATCACATCACGGATTTTGATTGAGTTTTAAGGCTGCAATCGATTCGATTGTCCCCATATACACTCTGTCCTTAACATAATCCCACAAAAAAGAATCTAGTGGTGTTAAATCACATGATCTAGCTGGCCACTTAACAGCTGAGTTTAGTGATATTATGCGATCGGAAAATTTGGTTTGCAATAAATTGATCGTTTCATTGGCTGTGTGACATGTGTCCTGTTGAAACCACATATCAGTGATATCCACGTCATCAATAATTAGGCCAAAATTCGCCATTTGGTGGTTCTGGATAACCCCAATTGTTGAGAACGTCGCAGAATTGACAAATTTGGATCTGCCTCAACACTGTGGCTCACGGCTGCGATGCTTTCAGTTGAACGACCAGATCGAACACACGTTGGTGTTGGCACATTTTGTATCGAGCCTGTCGACTCCAATTTAACGACCAAATTCTTAATAGCGGTCTCAGAAGGACGATTATGTTGTCCGAAAATATCACGAATTTGACAAAATGTAACTGTAACAGAACCACTATTTTCATAGTGTATTTTAATTATTTTAATTCGATTTTCAAGCGAAATTGAATTCATTGTAACAATTGCTAATGCATCTTCTACGAATACGTCAAAAAACTAAATGTGAAAACTATCATATTGTTGGTGTAGCCACAATTCAAAAACAAAGTTCTTGTTGAACAACCCTATATTTGTGGGTTACCTACAATGCGAAGAGTTGCGGCCTTGCAGCCGTAAGGCTATAGAAAAATTCGACACGGCCGTCAGGGCCGCGGTAGCATAATGGTCAGTGCATTCGCCTGGATACCAAAGGGTGCGGGTTCGAGTCCCGTCTGCTGCCGGGTCCGCGTGGAATATATACTAGTAACTTTTTTTTTGAGATTTAAACATCTAGCAGTACATGCTTAAAAAAATATAAATATTTATTTATTCATAGCGACGGCCTTGGCCCGTCGTAGGCGCGCGTTGCGTCGCGCCCGTCAGACCCCAGCCGGCGGCGGGGACCGTACTCGGGACCCAACTCCTCAACTGCGACCGTCCCAACTGGCCCGATGCCAACTCATACTGCAAGAGATCAATAGGAAAATGCAAGCGGTCACATGGCAACCGCCTCTATAGAGAGATAGATAGATTTATTTTTAAATAGATAATTAACTTAATAGGGATGATGACCAATTTTTTTTTTTATTTTTTTTTATTTATTTATATTGGCAACATACTTGTTTTTCTCGTTTATCAGGTAGATTATCAAAAAGTATTGGACCCCTTTTTTTTTTTTCACATAATATAAACAGTGCAGATATATATAATAATATATTGATTCGAAAAGTCGCATGACGTCACGTTTTGGTACAATTTTCACTTGAAAGTGACGTCACAAGCCCCTACTCCCAAACTTTGACGCGCTTTATCTTTGTCATTTATTGGTTGATTGCCCAAAGAAAAAATACGTGTTCATTATTTTTTGATCATCTAACTGACGGACTAAATAGAATTTCGTTTACTGTACCCCGTCATCATGCCTATTCTGACATGATTTGATTATCTAAACTTGAAACTAAAAGACATTGGGATTAAGGTTACCATTTAGGAATTTCAAAAGTCTGGACTTTTTAGTCACAAAGTGGTACCATTCCTCACTTAATTACAATGGTATGGTATTTAAATCAATATGTACTTTTATTATTATTATTCAATGTAATTTAATAAATCTGGATAATTTTAAGATCTGGAAAGAGACCGGATTATAGTCGAAAATCCGTATCCGAATCCGGACGGATGGTAACCCTAATTGGGACGAACATTTTTCAGTTTACTGTTCCGAGAGAAATTTTCTTTAGTGCAATGTGCTCATGCCCATTGTATAAGTTTCGGTTTAATTTTAAATCGACTTCATATTAAAGCTACTCAATTCGTCTGCATATAATTATTTGTATTTTAGTCAACATTTTGTTATTATGTAAACAAATGAAGGTTGATGATGTTCTTATGTTATTCTTTATCTTTGTTTAAATTTAAAAGGTCAAACAGCACTTTTTATATGATTGTAAATAATTATCATTATCGATGTAAATAAATTCAAGTTTTGTGATATTTTCTCATTGTTAATAATTCGATATAAGTAGGTACCTAATGAATAAATGATTTTCAATTTAATTGGTTATTTGTTGTTTTATTAAACCATATCCTTTTCAGTAAAATTGAGCAATTTCATCGCTAAAGTCTAAATTTCAGCGTTTTCTCAAACTTCCTAGGATTTTCGCGAAAATACGTATTATCAAATCATCCTACCTACGACATAATTATTTTAATAATACATAGTTTATTCGACAATATTAAAGTTTCACAAATTCCTTAGACTTTTCGCGAAAATTCGATTTATCATCATCCTATAACCCATAAGATATTATTACGTAAAATATGTACTACATTGAAGAGATATTGCACCCTGTACTCGAAGCGTTAATCTACTGTAGGCCCGCGCCATTATGACGGTGATTAAACATCACTTATGTAAATAGTGGTGTCGATTCTGGCACGATTCTCTAAACCTAAACTTAAATTTGACAACAGTGCATCCTTGTCATTCTCAATACAAAATGAAAAGGAGAGACTGATGTTAAATTTAGTTTTAAGTTTAGAGAATCACGCTAGAATCGACACCAATAATTAATTTTATTAATGACATCGAGCTTATTAACTAGATTTACCATCACAGTAAATCATAAAGGCAATTTATTCAAATACAGTAACGAAATGACGTATAAGGTACTGGACTGGCTTGCTGTGAAATCTCGGAATGTGGAATCTTAATAAGGCCGACTTTCTCCAAACCACTTAATTCAAATTGATAAGCCTTATTCTGTCTCTATTTGACTTAGACAATCGACTAGGGTGGAATGGTGTGTTAAACATCGAATTTTAAACACTATTAAGCATCAATTTGGATTAAGAATTTTGGTGCAAGTGATCTTAAATAAGTATATATAATTACGCCACTCCTAATTATGAATTTGTTAATTGATACCTACATGTAACGACAAGAAGAAAATGATGTCATCGTTTTTTTCTAAATCTGTCAGGTTTTTTCGCGGGCGTTCTTCATCACTGCTGAAAGAACACTTGAAGAGAAGGTAAGAAAAATATATCCAACTAATATTGTAAATGTGAAATTTTGTTGCTGGTACAAAACCAGCTGGTAACCCATCGACATATTTTTTAACTGTTGTGGGGGGCCCTGTCCCCGTAGCATGAGCATTACAATTTACATTTTTTTACCTTTATTTCCACGGGTTATAGGTAGACCGCTTAACTGAGTCCTCGCCTGCGGGGTAAAGGGTGTGGGGAGGACGATCACACTCTGTACCCCGCAGGCAACGTCTCAGTTAAACGATTTACCTGTTACTGTCTAACTCCATAGTAATTTGACAATTGAGCGTGATAAAAACGCGTTATATATCATATCGCGGTGCTCATGCTAGGGCTGAGTTACGTAACTATTAAGTAATTTGTGCCCTGCCCTGGACCACAGCCAGAGCCCCACCTGCCTTGCCTTTGCCAGAAACATATTAACTTGTTGTGTCGTGTCGTGGAGCGCCAGAAGCACATCGGTTTCATACATTTACTATGGTTTTGAAACATATTTACGTGTCGTGTCGTGACGCTCTGACCTCTCTCTCTTCTTCTGTAACCCATAATAAATGTATGAAACCGATGCGTCACGACCTGCCACGACACGGTAATGTTTTTGGCTTTAAATCCGGTCCTGCTTGGCCATGGCACCAAATCAATTTCGACCTGCATAATCAATACTAATATTATAAAGCTGAAGAGGTGCTGTTTGTTTAGCTGAATGCGCTAATCTCAGGAACTACCTACTAGTGCGATTTGAAAAAAAATGTGTTTAATAGAGCATGTATCGAGGAAGGCTCATGAGCTATAATGCGATTCAACTAAGAATAGGACCGATTGGGCGCCATATTATGACGTCATAGCTGTGAATTCAAACCAAATGGGTAGAGTGAGCAAAAAAATGGTGCTATTGAATAAAACTTATTTAATAAGATTAAGTAAGACAAAATATCAGATTTTTTAATAAAATTAATTTACTAAGGTTTAGAAAGAACACAACCGGTTTTTAATAGCATTTCTTTATTAAGACTGTGTCAAAAACACATTATTCAAAATCTAGCTCTTCAATTTCGCTCATCTCTGCATTACCGCCGGAGACGTTGTGAATAATCATGCAGGTCACATACGAACATGCATCCTATATGCTTTGATTAAAACAAAAAGGGTAGATACGGCACTAGCCTCACAAAAGTGATCCGCATGAATTGTGGTCCACGACCCTAATCGCTTTAGTCACAACTTGACATGCAAACGACGTACATATAAACGCCAAAAAGAAATATTGCTAATATTTTGTGATTATATGATAAAACAATGCCTAAGTGTGTTTTTAAATAGTGCTTAAATTGCTCAAGAACTAAAAATAACACCCACAGCATCACTTTTCATTCGTAAGTACTATAAAATATATTTTTTCATAAAAATTGCTTATTTGTTTTGAATCTTATTCGGTAGTGACGTCGAGAACTGGTCGCGTGATTGGTCGGTAGTGCAGTGACGTGGATCTCTCCGTCTCGTTCGCGATGCTTGAAACTTAACGTGCTGTTTCGTTCGGGTCGGTAATGCAGTGACGCTGATCAGGCCGTCCCGTTCGCGCTGCCGTGGGATCAGTTTTTGTTTGATGCCAGTATGAGCGTACCGTATCTACCCTTTTTGTTTTAATCTAAGCCTATATGTAAACGAAAGTTTTAAATCGAGTTTTTGAACGCAACATAAAGTGACATTTGGTTGACGATTTAGGTTATCAACCATTCATAGCCTAAGCTCAATAAATGAAAAAAAAACAACTAATATTAATTATCAACATTTGTTATTGTTTGTTTAAAAATGTTTGGTTTTTATTCTAGAGCTCAGCTAGACTCAGCTGAGTGCTAAAAAAGTGTTCCGAGATTTTTTTGCAAACCGTACTTTTTAAGCGACATTTGACAGATGGAGGTCGTTGGATTTCCTATTCTTATTTGAATCGCATTATACATAACAAAACGATATATTATGAAAATATGACAATGAAATAAAAATATATTTATTGGAACTAATTAAAGATATATGCATAATTTAGGTTCGTTAATTGCTATATTATTTTCTAGAACTGTGTTACAGCTATTAGCGCCCACCTCCAGATACAGATACGTATGTTCCATAATAACAACTAATAATAAGAATAATAACTTTATTTTTCTTTAACATTGGTTTAGCTACATTATATAGGTACAAGTGATTGAAGCCACATTTTAAGCAAATGCCTGTGACAGATGACGTTACAGTTTGCATATCTGTATTTATTTTTAAACAAAAAGTGGGACTAATGTAATACATACGCTATGATTAATAGGATCCGCGCACCAATGGAAGAAGTTGCTAAAACGGTAAAAGAATATTCCATTTGTAAGCATCCGTTGCGTGAGCTGCGTAAAAGGTAGAATTTATACAAAAATCATGTATGATGGAATTGTTTTCCTATAAAATTTCTTTATAAAAGCCCGCGTCAGCATATATGTATGTCTACCTTTTAAGAGTAACCCACTGCCCACTATAACCTTTTTTTCTCAACTTAATGCGTGCGAAACAGCAGGGCATATGTAGTATTTTAATACATGTAGACATCTAAAGAAAAGTTTACTAGAAAAAAATCCACGCGGACCAGGCAGCGGACGGGACTCGAACCCGCATCCTTCGCTATCCGTGCGAATGCACTGACCATTATGCTACCACGGCCCTATTAGCCGCGTCGAAATTTTCCTAGCCTTAAGCTGCAAGGCAGCGCCATCTCTTCGCATTGTAGGTAACCCACAATGTCAAATGAATACTTTTTCAAGTATTAAACATTTTGAAATAAGAAATAGCAATTATAGTTATGATTTTATTTATTTTTTAAGCATTTAACTGCTAGATGCAGTTAAATGCTTAAAAAATAAATAAAATCATAGCATGTAGACATCTCAAAGAGTATTTAGTAGGGGAGCGGGGAATCAGGTGCTTCTTCTAAACAATGTTATCAGTGCCCCTTGTATAAATAAGGTCACAGTCATTTTATAATCTAGTTTAATAGAAGTGGGAACGATGACGGCCGCTTGGTTGGTGTTAGTGGCGATTTTATCGGCAAATGCCGTATATGCGGCTAGTGTAGGAGAAAATCAGTAAGTATCAGTATTTGAAAATATATTGTTTTAAACTTTCATGTTCACTAACAATATAGCAAGGTAGGTACATGCAAAAACAAGGTACATGGTAGCAATCCCGTTAAAAGCTATAATATTTTAAAATAGGTACTTCATAAATATATAATTGATAGAGATGTAGGCCATAATGAGCGCCTTTTCCGCTCGAATTGGAGCCCTTTTCTGGGTGTAGAAGATCACACACAGTGGTGGATAGATTAAGTGAAATAACATGGAAGTGACAGTAATTTTAATCCAGTCGGAAAAAACTGGAAGACCTGGCAATTCTGCCAACCACCACCAATAACACCAAAACTTGAATTTGGGTTCTACTAACCCTTTAGTTACTGTTCCGAGGGTGGCTTTTCTTTATTTCTCTGGAGGGGGCCGTCATCCTTCGCGGGGACATTTTTTTTTATTTAAAATAAGTATGGGTATGGATAATTTGAATAATTTCAAGCAATTTTTGTTTTTTTATTTTAAGTTTTGACTGAAAGCCAATATGCACCTACTTTTCAACTTATTCAAGAGTAAAAAGGCAAATTTTCAAAAAAAAAACGTTTTCAGAAGGGATTCCAAAAGTTATGCAAACATTTTACCTGTATTTTCCTAAGACGTAGTCAAACTTTTATTTATGGGGTGTGACGTCTCGCTAAATTATTTGTGACCATTTATGTAATATAAACATAGATCGGGAAAATCTATACCTGTACTGAAATTCGGCTTCTTCGAGTTCCACTAGTGGATTTCATCCCAATTTAAAATGATGCGTTTGTATCAAATTCTTGTTGTAATCTTCAATTTTCTTTACAGTAGTCTCTATTTATATTTCTAATAAGATTAGACAACTTTTTTTAAATTACTGCAATAGAAGAAAAATAGTCAAGAGTTGAGAAAGATCACACAACCTTCTTGCTTTTTATTCGATCTGAGGCCAATATAGAGAAAGTAATCACTGCCAAATGCTATCAATTAGAATGATAATCATGTGACACTTAAATAGACTACTCCATCAATATTAATTCGCCAAACCATGTAAACCGTGCTTCGGAAGGCACATTAAGCCGTTGGTCCCGGCTGCATCTGCACTCGTTAGCACCCGCCAATCCGCACTGGGCCCGCGTAGTGGGTCATGGCCCATTCTTCCTATTCCATCCATAGGGAAGGCCTGTGCCTCAGCAGTGGGGATATTAATAGGCTAATGATGATGATGAAACCAGGTACCCCAGGGGGAGTCTCCCTTATATTAATAAGGTTAGTATGAATCCGTATTTAATATCTGTGATTATCGATACACGTCAAAGCCAAATTGATATATTTGAGGTCGAGCGATAGAGACTACGTTATAGCATTATGCCCGCCATTGCTCATTTGCAGTTATTTTTTCAATAAATTAAAAATGTAGTTATACATTTTTAATTATATATATATGTGGTAGTGTATTTGAAGTATCCCTGACCTTACATATAGGAAGTATTAAAAAAGTAAATGTCAAAGCCATCTGTTTTTGACAATCAATGTCAAACTTGAATGACAATGGGGTTGGCAGTGTTGTCGTTACGGGGAGTTTTCCTGTTAAAATGGTAGATTAATGGTCCCTTATATAGCGATAATTAAATGCTTTAAACCGTTAAAGCTATTAATTATCGCTATGAAAACTGGTTTCGGCTATTTATTATAAGGAACCTATGTGTTAAGTTAACAAGTTCATTGTTTATATACTAATAAAATCATGAAGTGCAATTAATAAATACCCTCTTATAATTTGAACCCTCTTTTTATAGCGATAAGTAATTGCTTTTAATTGTTAAAGCATTAAATTATCGCTATAAAATTGGCTTGCTCTCGTGGAGTTCAAGAGTTGATATATATTTATGGGTACACTGTTATTAGGAACCCTTATTCTAGATTCTATATGTAATCTCACTATTAAATATTTAATAGGTATATTCATAGAAGCTTCATTTTTCTATTATAAAGTACCTAGTGAATGATAGTGTCTAAAAAGTAAATCACCTATTTAGTGTGAATTAGTACCAAAAAATACCACGAACATTAACATTTATAAAATGAATATTATGTAAGAATTTAATATTATTAATTTAAGCCTAAGTATATTAATTTTAATCGGATTTTTTTGACCGGTAAGGAAAAAATAACTATCAACCTGGGGAAATTCGAGAATGTTTGTCTGGTAACCCTGTATTCCTGTACTGTATACAGTTTCAGCATCGGAAAATTGTTATAACCTTTTCAGGTTTAATCGATACATTATACCTATTTCAAGTTGAACTTTAAGTCATTATAATTATATTGTTTCTTTTTATAAACTAAGAACCAGTTTTGGTAAGTCATTATAATAATAACTTTATATAAATTTTTCCAACATTTGTATCCACATTTTACAGTTTATTTAAACAATATTGTGTGTCTCCTGGGATTGCGAAAGATTGATCAAGTTGTTAAAAGTAAAGGTTTAGGTTAATTAACTGTTTATACTGGAAACTTGATTATTAATATTTATTCAATAAACGAAAACTGTCTATTTACTTTAAGTTTTAATATTTTTCCCCTTTCAAAGACCATGCACACCTGTTTGATTAATAAGAATTAAATAGTAACGAAGTTTTGTAACTTAATAAAAAAGTAACAACTACTTTCTCTCTATATAAAACAGTACAAAATTTAAAGGAGTTGGTCTGGATTTTATGCTTAATTAGGATTTATCTTATTTTTTTATCTATCTTATGACGTAGGGATGTAGGTGGCTTATCTAGTCTCCAAGCAAATATCTGACCATTTATAAAAAGTCATTTAGCTACAAAAAATAAACCAAGAACCAAGCCTATAGCATAAGTAAGTCTATTCAAATCCATTAAAAGGACACCACCAATTAACAAAAACAGGAAGATTTTATTCATTATCTAAATACACTTTTATTTCACAACAATATGTAATTATTTGTTCTTGTATCTTATTAGGCTTTCACTTCACAACATTAATCATGTTAAAATTAAGTAACAAGAAAATAGAATGGCTTAAATTAAAGTGACACATTTAAGGTGGGCACATTATACCCTTAATGAGTTATTCATAAAGAAATCTTGACAAGAAACATAATAATTTTAGGTGTAAAACACAACATTAATATAAATAGGTATATTCCCTTCTTATTCTCACTCATCACAACAATTATTTACTTCTAAATATGCAATCCTGTACCATGGAAATTATAATTCTTAATTATAAATTAATTAACTTAATTTTAAACAATTACAAATGACGCCCATAATTTAATTTTTATTTATTAACCAACTTTAAAAAGTAGCAGGTTCTTAATTCAACCAGTTTTATTTTATTTTATTCTGTGTTTGGGTCAACGAGTTCTGGTGTTGGAAGCGCAGAACAGGGTTCTATACTTAATTCTGTTGTTTTTTCAGGTCAACCATGTATGATACAATAGTAGTGGGTATGGGAGCCTCCGGTACGTCTGCCGCCAGTACCTTGGCACAGGCTGGTAGACGAGTTCTGGTGTTGGAAGCGCAGAACAGGATCGGTGGGAGGGTCTGCACCGTACCCTTTGGAGATGGTGTTGTCGAATTAGGCGCTGAATGGTGAGTAAGAAAAGTCTCTTTAAGCCAGCTTATATCTAAAAGGGGTGTTTTGATATGTGTGTGTACACACGTTTGTGTGTGTGTGACATATTACTTTTATGCACACAACTGATCAAAAATAAGTTATTTGAAATAACAAAAAGGAAAGTATACTTTACATATAAAAGGAATGAAGGTAAAACAGTACTTTCTGGGCCCAGGAGTGGCCTGGGACACTTAACATTTTTTTGTTCAAAAAGTCTCTTACTACGAAAGTATTTTTCTGGCGCTGCTTCCGCGGCACACTCACTTGGGGTGGGCCCGGGGTTTCTACCTATATACCCTAATCCAGTTATATGAGCTAGCTTCATACAATGCATTTTCCCCGCATCAGCATTTTTAAGTTGACCTCATTTTACATTATTGCACAAAATTATTTTATAAGTGCGCAATCAACGAGCTACCATAGCGCGCGTACTCATACCGTTGTCAATTAGCAAATATTTTATTTGGGTTTTTTTTTCAAATATACAATTTTTACCAAAATATCCATTCTTATCATTTATCGGGGCAGCCTAAACACCAGTGTAACTCTGTATAGTATCTCCAGTGTATTCCTGTATGCGATGTGGAGCGCTCGTCTGGGGAGCAACCTCCACCTTACAGAAGAACACAGTGAAACAATACTACCTTGTGGTGGTGTAGTTTCTGTCGGTGAATAAGGTTTCAGGGCTCCATGGGGTAGGGGTTTTTTTTTTTTCCGGATCTTGCTCCGGATGCAGTTAATCCTCTGACGTAATCAGAGACTTTGTTTATGTTGGGGTAGGGGATTGGGTCAGGGTAGGCATTGGTGCGAGTGATGTGTTTGGTATCGCAAGCGTTTATATAATAAAAAACAAACAAGCACTCGGGAACTGCCGCGGTAAAGCTATTGCATAGCATTATTTATCAACTTATGCAATTATATTTTTTTTTATGCAGTATTTTTTTTCTTTGATATTAATAGATAGCGAGGCAGGCCTTATGATATTTTATCGGGCAAGCACAGCAAGCAACAGCATTACCTGGCGCCAAAAAACTTATGCAAGCTCCACAATTTACCATCTTTAGTCCAAAAATTAAAATTAAAATTATGAAGTCTAAATAAAAGGGGGACAAATAAAAATAAGAACAGGTGCTGTGAAGCACCGTGGTGAAGCGTCGAACATTGGTCTCGTGGCAAAAATTTAACACACTGCGCCGTTTCGATCGATACTGGATAGGCGCAAATTGTATTCATATGCACTGTTGTCAGGTTATTTTCATTACGAAATTTCTTGATTCGGTCGCCGCGCTCAAAGCCTGCGATAAAATCTATGCAATAGCTTAAAAAAATGTGTGCACGGACCACACATCTGTAGTGAAACTTCTTTTCTTAAATAATCTTACATTAGGCAGTGCATAAGGCATAGGGGAAAAGAGCAACACACGCATCACTCATATATATAAATATATTGTCCCGTGTGTACCCTCCACGCGATCGGGGGTATAGAGAGAGATATATCTTCTATAATATATGTAAAAATGAATCGCTGAATGTGTTGCTAAGCTCAAATCTCGAGAACAGCTGAACCGGTTTCGATAATTCTTTTTCTAGAATATTCCTTGAAGTGCGAGGATGGTTTTTACGCAAGTAAAAATTAAAAAATTGCCTGAAAATGTCGTAAAACAACACTTTTCTATACTCCCATACAAACGTCAATTTGAACATTAATACCATACCATAAATTTCAAATGTTAGTGGAGAGATTCTGGGAAGGCAAAACAATTTAGCGATGTGATGTCAATAGAAGTTTGGAACAGGTAAATATACCATTTTTAGTTTTTTATAATTACTTATACGAAGAGTCATTTAAATCTACACTACAGCTCTACACCGAAGCGAAGCGAGGGCGGGCCACTAGTATATATATATATATATATATATATAGTCGTGTAACGCTCGTGACGAATTTCCGTTTCATCTTTTCCAATGGATTTTTCAATATACATCCCGTCCGAAAAGAAGTTTCACTTTTAAAAAAAATGGGTGCGTGTACTTATGTAGGCGCGTGAGAAGTTATCCTTCTTTGGCATCGTTTAAAATTAGTTTTTAATTGCATGCAAATAATTAATTACAATAAATTAATAAAAAGTCTGGAAAAGGACACAGTCAATAAAATTCAGTTTTAATTTGAAAAAATAAATAAATAATCAAAATATTCAATTAAAATCGCTACTGAATATAATTTATTAGAACATATGTGATTTGCACTTGTATGAAACTCAAACACGTATTCCGAATATACAAACTAGAAACATGTGGATAAATATTATAAACTAGCGGCCCGCCCTCGCTTCGCTTCGGTGTAGAGCTGAAGTGTAGACTACAGTTTTTGTTCTCAGGCTTGTATTATACACAATGACATTCATCTATGATTCTTCTTATACCTGCATGCAAAGTCTCAGCCCGATCGGTTTAAAATTGATAAAATTTCATACAAACTTTCATTCCTTATTTTATCCCCTTGGGATTTTCTTTATATTTTTTTCCGTAAGAACCTTGTACAGAGTATTAGAAAACTACAAAAAAAAAAAACAGCCAAATCGGTCAAGCCATTTTCATGTTATGTCGTGACAACGGAAAACGGGTTTCATTTTTATATATATAGATATGAAAACAGTCTCTGTTCTAAATTCAAAACTCGTAACTTTTCCCGATGTTTGTTGTACGTGTTTCCCGCGCTAGGACCGCGAGTGGCCGCGCATGCGTACGGTGCGGCGGGCGACGCGGTAATGGCAGCGCGGCACATGAAGTTGGTCGCTAAAGCGACCAACTTCATGGTGTTAATTTTTTGTGTTACAGATGCGCGCGCATCTTAAAATTTCACTCTCATAATTTTTTTATAACGCGCCTAAAGAAGTATAACTTTAAAAAAAGTTAGTCGTCATGCCTATTATGACATAACTAGTGGGTGCCCGCGACGACGTCTGCGTAAAAATATTAGTTTACCATACAAACTTCAGCAAGTTTTGGATATCCTTTCTTAACGCACGAATTTCTTAACTTCAATTGAGGTATCTCTCCTCCTTCCCAGGATACATGGACAAGTTCCAAGCACCGTATACGACCTGGCCATAAAGAACAACGTGTCTGTCATATCCCAGGATATCTCCATGGACGTGTTCCTATCAGACGGTAGTAAGGGAGACAGGGCACTGATAAACGACCTTGTGGATTTTGCATTGCAATCTTGCGAAGATCCACCGAAGGAGCCCCAGCCATTGGGACAGTGTATAACAAATAGGTGAGTTATAAACAAGCACTTTTCAATGACGATAAACAGGACTATCTGTTTCCCAATCTACGGCGGGAGACCTACAAGGTCTCCTAGACCTTGTACTAAGAACAGTGCCATCTTTAACCTATTGGAGGCCCTGGGCATATTAGGATAATGGGGCCCCTATGACTTCCGTTTGATGATTTAATCATCCCTCTGCTTCTGGAGCCTTTAGACCACTCGAATCTGAGGGGGTCGGCTCAACTAGAGGTACGGTTGCCAGATTGACTGGACTTGGCTGGATTGTCCAGCTATTTCACACGTTGTCCAGTGTCCCGGTTTTAGGCAAAATGTCCAGCAAAAATGAAGCTGTAAATTAAAAACCACCAGTATTAGTGGTTTTCCACCTAGTTGGCAACACTGGCTCCGCTGCGGCCTCTTGCTATCTATGCCCGGGATTGAATTCAATAATTCGATTGAACTTTGACGAGACTTGTACTAAATTTAAATCTTTTCTTAAATATAATTGATAAATGCGGCTAAAGGACATGCTAATATGTGGCAGAAAAAGTGATTTCATATTAATTTTGTTTGATTAAGGTTCCTTTGTTTTGTAATAGTAAAAAAAATATGATAATGCTGATTAATGTATGTGGCAAAAAAGTTATTTCATATTAATTTTGTTTAATTAAGGTTCCTCTGTTTTGTAATAATAAATTTTTTTTATAGTCATGCTGATTTTTTTGTCCAGCCAAAAATCCTAATGTCCAGATGTTTTATAATATTGTCCAGAAATTTTTATTTCTCAATCTGGTAACCCTAACTAGAGGGCATCTCTGAGACTCGGACCTAGACTCTAGCTAGCCGTTGTCGTGGGGTTGTTTTTATTCTTGATTTTATTACGTAACTCGTAACTCTAAAGCTGAACAAAACGCGGAGGGGATAGCTGCGCATGAGTACCTAGGGGGCGTCCATAAATTACGTGAGGTGTATTTTTGAATTTTCTGTCCCTCCCTCCCCCCCTGGTGAGATGTCGTGAGATTTTATTCAACCCCCTCCCCCATCCCCCGATCTCACGTGAGATTTTTCAAAATGTCGGTTTCTTACGTAAACGCGTTGGATTGTTACAAATATGGTGGTTTGACAGTCATGTATAACGTCGAAGTATGAATGAAATTATTTTCTTTCGAACGAATAAGTGAATGATCTTAAATCGTATTACGATTACGCTTAAGATTAAATCTTAAGCATGTACAATCTGGATTAAATGGATCAAAATAGTATATTTTTTTTTGTTTCAATCAGAAAAAAAATGCGTGATATTTGCCGAGACCCCCCTCTCTCCAACGTAAGATTAGATGAGATTTGACTCGACCCCCTCCCCCCCTTAAACATCTCACGTAATTTATGGACGCTCCCCTACGACTGGAGAGCCAATCGACATTGTGGGTAACCTACAATGCGAAGAGACGGCGCTGCCTTCCAGCCTAAAGCTAGAGAAAATTCGACGCGGCCGTCAGGCATTCGCCCGGATAACTAAGGGTGCGGGTTCGAGTCCTGTCTGCTGCCGCTGTCCGCGTGGAATTTTTTCTAGTATACTTTTCTCTAGATTTCAACATCTAGCAGTTAAAATTTCTTTAAGACATCTTTCGTAGTTCTCAGTTTAAGGTCTCCCATCGTAGATTTGCGAACCGACGGCGTAGTTTTTCCAATTTATCAAGTGCATAACTGAAAAAATGGTCTGTTTAATATTTTTTTTACCTTCTAGACTGATGGATTACATAAGGGTCCACCATCCAGACCTGCTAAAAGACCAGGACTTCCTAACAGAGTTGCTGGCGTTCTTGGATCTAGTCATTGATAATTACGAAGCCACGACCAGTTGGAATGATATTACCACAGAGAGTAAATACAGGGAGTTGGATGGTGACCAGCATATAAGCTGGCATAAGAATGGGTATAAGACGCTGTTTGAGATTCTATTGGTGAGCTTTGTTTGTATGACTAGCGGTCGCACGTGACTACGTCCGCGTTAAGATAAGTTTTTTTGTAAATCCCTCGGGAATGTGACACTTTTCTGGGACAAAAAGTGTCCTATATCTCAATCCAGGTTATAAATGTACATGTGCACCAAATTTCAACAAAATTCGTTGAGTAGTTTTTGCGTGATTGTGTGATTGTAACAAACACTTCTTTGTCGTACTATTCGTAAGAGGAATTCTTTACCCGCGCAAGTGTTCCCTCCTTCCTATAATCTGGGGTCCTTTAAGAGAGGCGTGAAGAAGCATTTTTGCAGGCCGACAAGGTTAGGATGATTGGTGTAGCAGTTTATAACTGATTTACCAGCTATCTTCGCGTTTGGATTATTTACCACTTAACATCAGGTGGGCTAGAGTCATTTGCCTACCTTTATATAAAAAAACACAAATTTTCACATTTATAATATTAGTAGGATACTTTACTAGCTTGCTTGAGGAGCTCGCTAGCGCAAGAGGGTAGCGCGTTCGGCTGCGATCGTTGCAGTTAAGTCACTTTCGCAATGGTCGATCATTGGATGGGTGGGCAAAACATTACTATCTTTCACTCGTCCGGGCTTCAGAAGGCAAGTTAAGCCGTTGGTCCCGGCTGCATCTGCAGTCGTTAGCACCCGCAAATCCGCACTGGGCCCGCGTGGTGGGTCATGGCCCAATCTCCCTATTTCATCCATAGGGAAGGCCTGTGCCCCAGCAGTGGGGACATTAATAGGCTGATGATGATGACATTTTCTATCGGATTTTTTTATTAGATAGTACCTACGTCCGTAACGTTACAGCCTCCTTGTTTGGGTAAACTCTTTGTTCGTATAATGCCTACGGCTGGCAGTTATATTAAAAAGGTGATGTCATAATTTTTAAAGATTTGAAATTGGGAATCTTCTGTCGTTTGATAGAAGGTTCCAGCAGATAGACTTCAGGCACCAAACCATACGTTGATAGATTAAGCTCAATTATTATATTAGCCTGATTTCTAATAAATATCAAAATATAAAATCAAAGTTGTTTGCCATTTGATAAAACTACGCCCCCAGGATCTATCCCTTCAGGGTAGATCGCCGCAGTACCTATCTATTGCCACGTAAACGTAATTTGAACTCAAATAAAAAGATAAATATTCAAAAACTTTTGATTATATATCCCGCTTTCGATGAAAGAATCCCGCTATTTTCACTCAAAAAGTTCCTATATCCCGCTTGGCAAAAAAAAAAATCTGGCAACACTGCTCATGATTCATCCGCGGTGAAGTAAACCCACAGGCACCTGATATTTTACCGGAACAAAAGTATCTCTTATCTATTAGACAAGTCCGTCCGTCCGTCCGTCTGTCTGTGGTGCTGTTTCAGCGGCCAAACCGTAAGAGATAGATCAAGAGAATGTTTAAGTTATAAGTTAAGAATAGTCTGATAAGACTACAAACCGGATTTGAGTAACGTAGCACTTCCGGTTTTCGAGAAATCACGAATTTCAAACGAAACCACACAAAATCTCTGAAGTTCTCAATTAATTAAATACATTTTTTTAAATCAGGTTTTGGTGAACATTTGGTTCACTGGTTTGCTAGTAGTATGTAATAAACTATACCTTTGTACTGAAAAAAGTAATTTACAAAGCTAGTTGAATTAACCAAAACAATTAATTAACCGATGAATAGCCAAACATTGGTGTCGATTCTGGCATCATTATCTAAACTTCAATCTTATTTTATTATTAGTCTCTCCTTTTCATCTTATATAGAGAAAGACAAAGATACACTGCTATCAAATTTAAGTTTACATTTAGAGAATTGTGCCAGAATCGACACCATTGTTTACTAATAAATAAATTTTAGTCACTCATGGACCAACTGTTCTGTTGCATTTTACATTATCATTTCAGTTAATCGAGATTAGGTAAAAACTACGAAACCATTTGGTTTTCTTGTTTTGTTACTTGTCAAATTCGATTTTGATAATCTGTAACATAACAATGGTGTCGATTCTGGCAATATTCTCTAAACCTAAACTTAAATTTGACAACAGTGTATCCATGTCATTCTCTATACAGAATGAAAAGGAGAGACTGATGTTAAAGAACAATGGGCAAAACACACCCAGCACCGCCAACAATGTAATTAGTATGAATCGATAGATCTATGAAAAACTAGCCTTTTTATTATGTCACCGTAAAAAAATATCCTGGTAGTCAAAAGATATGACACATGGGCATACTTAAGTAGCTAAATAAATAAATTTTATAGTGCTTTTATTTTATATTATTAGTAACCATAATAATATGCCATATCGTACTATACAACCAGATATACGATAAAGCCTGCCGACCATCCTGCGCTTTGAAGGACTTACAGTTGCAAATAGTCGACTTGTCTTACTTCGTTGTGATTGTGCGCTTCTTGTCACTTGATTGATTTTTATCTAACACGCTTTAGACATTGGAACACGATTATCGGTATTGTCGATTAGTATGGATGAACTGGATCATGTTTTCTCTGAAGCCTGGAAAAGTTTGGGTGATTTGCGTCGCTCCGTTTTACAAAGAAGACAATTTACTGTAACGAACAGTATGTTTGAAAAAACCCCAACCCATGCGGGGATTTATGGATTTACTCTAGCGTGGCAGAAAAACATAAGGGGCATCCTTGAACCTTGTGAAGTACTCCCATAATACCTGAGCCGAGGGGGCTATGTAGTGTCGAACTAACTAACTAAATTAGTTCCCTTGTTTCATTAATGTTCGTTTGCTATAGTACTTCTGCCTATTTAGCTTAAAATAACTGAAGACTGCCGGGACTTAATTCGATGCGCTTTGGCACAGATGATCATGACTATAATACCTTTCAAACAAGTGTAGTTCAAGCCGTGGCGGACGTGGGTGCAGCGTCCATACATTTTTGCCCAATGTCCTTTAGTTTTAAGTTTAGAGAATCACGCCAGAATTGGCACCAGTGTATTGTTATAATCAAACACACTTAAAGTGATTATTCAAAGAGAGTTGACCTAACTGCAACTATTTTCTGCGATTTATTAGCAATCACAAAAACCGCTATGCATAATTGAAAAGTGTTGTAACTGGTAGCCAAGTACGTCAGTCTATGCAATGTAAACGAATGAATGTTTTAAACAGCCACAACGAATATTCTACAAGTATTCTTTAAAACTATTAAATGACTTGTTTTTTGGTGGAAACGTGGGGTACGAACCATAGATTAAGATATCCTAATCTTTGTCCACAGAATACGTACAACAACGGCCCAGGGTTGCCAACGTTAGAATATAAACTGAACAAAGAGGTGACTCAAATAAATTGGTCCGAAGATCCTAGTAAAAAAGTTGTTGTAACTTGCAAAGACGGGAGCTCTTATACAGCTGACAATGTCATAGTCACAGTATCTATAGGAGTTTTAAAGGAGAGGTAAGTTGTATATCTGTCTTATAAGGATTATGTTTGGTTTTTTAACTCCAATTTGTTGGAAATATGTTGATGAAATAGTTTTTTGTAGTGAAACTTCTTTACGCACGCTTGACTTGGGTAAGCTGGCGAATTCGTTACGCGTTACGAAAAGTGTGTTTGGGCGAGGCGAACGGGAGTTGAGTGGGGTAGCAAGACGAAGCAGTGCTCGCGCAAATTTTCTTTCTCTCTTTCTCTTATAGCTAGTAAATGAAATATGTATATGTAAATACATGTATATAGTGTACACACATATATATCTATATATATACATACAGATGGAGCTAAAGAAGTTTCACTTCAGTAGTGTGGTCATAAGCACACTCGTTTTTTTATAATTATTTATGATATTGGTGCGGTAAGTTGGTTATTACAAACGTGTAGACGAATGTAACTATAGTCATGAGTTTTTAAATACTAATTCCGCACGAATATCATACATTTTTCAACACATTTGCGAGAAATGTACCTTACAGGTACTGTACCTTATTTAAGTAATGAATCAAACTTTTTTAATAAGAAAATTGACATTTGTTGCACTGAACGTATGTTTTGAACACAACCCTAATAAGTAATTTATAGGTCTTGGAAAGTTCGACTCTTTAATCTTAAGTGCGGATTAATTTTGAGTAGGCAAAGTTTATTTTAGTATTTTGCTGAAAAATAACTTTTTTATATTCGAACAATACTTTGTGTATGTAATTTCAATATAGGATTCGCTGAAATCGGGAAAAAAAATCTACTGATTCATACAAAAGTCGACCGAAATGTATGAAACAGCTGAATTTTTATCGCGTTTTCAGAGTTGGTCCCATGATAAAAGTTGTTCCTGTTGATGGGTAGAATCACCCTCTAAGAGGTTGTTGGTATTTTAAAATGAACCCTGTATATATGAACCATTTGGTACAAATTCATCCTTATACAATAGACACGTGTTTGAGCTCATAATTATAGTCCCAAGTTATATTTAGATCATTAAGGTCATAATTGCTTGAACTTTAAGTCAACATTGAAATAGAACTCTAAACTATCTAGGTCACGTGCAAGCGAATAGCGTCTTACAAAGACTATCAGTAAAATAAGTTATGATTAAATAACAAAGTATTTTAATTGTAATTCAACTCTATTTGTGGTGATTATAGCTGCGTCTCATTACGTGACGATTCTGCTAATGTCTAGGTTAAAGGAGACAAGATATATGCTGAGCCTGTACGGTTTTTAATTGTAAACATGCACATAAATATAATTACTGTCAAAGGAGATTGCTCAGCTTCCATACATGTTTGGCCTAAAGACCAATAATCATGAAAAATTGTTTCCTAGATTCGTAATTATATATAAATTACTGTAGAAACGAATATTATTGACGGACACCCCTGAGAACTTCTATAAACCATATACACTGAACATATTAAAATAATAAAAAACAAATAAGTTATATAGTAAACTAGGGAAATCAAGCCAAGTACCGAAATTATGGATTAGATTCAGGTATATAGAGCATGTACAGTAACAGATAGTTGCCTGTTTTTAAAGTTAATGCATAAGAGTAACTTTTAAAATCAGGTGTCATTTCCGGTTATAATAAAGTACTCTGTGACAGAAACTGTGTGATGATCATGAAGGTGCTTCATGGTGATGATTGTGAATGAGCCACAGATTAGAGAGAATTTTTAAACTTCGTTAACCAAAGAAAGCTAAGAGATTTAGGTTCTATAGTTATTTTATATATTCAGTAGCTTCATTATTTTTGTTATGTTTTACCATCTATAATAATTGTCTGAGCACATTTGCATCTAGTGAAAATGTTAATATAGTGGTGGATATTAATACCACATTGTAATAATAAAAAAAATATTTATTTTATCGTCTTTACAAAATAGATTTGTTTTTATGTTATATAAACAACTTCGATCAGTCTTTGGCTAAATGTTACTACACCCATAGCCATTAAAAATGATTCGTATGTTTTCCAAACCGGTAAAATTAAAAGTCCTTTTTAAAGTAAATATATTATACAAAGGTGTCCGTTGAAATCTAATGACTGTAAATTAAATTATAAATTACGCCAAGAATTATCGTGTATGTCAATATTTTTTGGGCATTTAGGCCAATTTGAGAAATCTCCTTTATGTTTTAATATTTCCAACACTCACACCATTTAGCCTAGCCCCAAAGTAAGCACTGTAGACTTGTGTTATGGGATACTAGGGTAACGGAAAGAATACATATACAGTCGAACCCGTTTAATACGATCACACTTAATACGATTTCTCGCTTATTACGCCATTTTGCGTCAGTCCCTGCAACTTGGGTCATGTTTTTATACATTTCTTAACGCTCCGTTTAGTACGCCGAAATCGCCAACACAGTAATATACTAAGTTTTTTATAACGTAAATATATAATTCTGAACTTTGTACATTTAATAACTTAATACCTACATTTGAAATTTCCCTATCACGGAATCCCGCATAATACGCTTTCCCGCTTAAGACGCGTTTTTGGTCGAGTTCCTGTGAAATCGTCTTAAACAGGTTTTATTGTAATGATACACATATAAGTATATTTACATAGAAATACATATTAAACATCCATGACTGGAGTACTAATGCTCGTATTCATCCCACAAACATTTTCCCCACCGGGATTTGAACCCGGGACCTCTGCGTAGGCGACACCTTGAAGACCGGCGTTCTTACCACACGAGCCATTGAGGTCTTCATTTATGTTTATTTCCCATCCTTTTGGCGCCATTAATTAATTCATCATCAGCCTATTAATGTCCCCACTGCTGGGGCACAGGCCTTCCCTATGGATGGAATAGGGAGATTGGGCCATGACCCATGGGCAGGAAAACGTTACGGCGTGTTACATCAGGGGGAGAGGGGGTCAAAAATCTTCAAAATTTGTGTTAATAATACTTGAGCGTACCCTTACGTAATAAATGAATAGCCCCTTTGCCCATAAAGAAATTAAATACTTCACAGACACACAAGCCTTTTCAACCCAGGCTTGCCTCCGAAGAAATTAGATGCCATACAAAACCTCCACATGGGTTTATTGGGTAAAATCATTTTGAGGTTTGATCACGAGTGGTGGATAAGCGATTATAGATCTTATGGCTTTATGTGGAGGGCTCAAGATAGATTGACAGTCCCTGATGATGTGTGGACAAGATTACAAGCAGCCAGTTGTCCTATGGGGTGTAGTAAAGTTTTGACTGTCTGGACTAGCGGGGACATTGGGAGATTGGTTAGTAGATAGTGGTATCGATTCTGGCGTGATTCTCTAAACTTAAAACTAAATTTAACATCAGTCTCTCCTTTTTATTCTGTATAGAGAATGAAAAGGATGCACAGTTGTCAAATTTAAGTTTAGCTTTAGAGAATCATGCCAGAATCGACATCAGTATCAAAGAAAATTTATATATTTTGTAACTAGAAAAAATTCCACGCGGACCAGGCAGCAAACGGCTCGGCTATCCGGGCGGATACACTGACCATTATGCTACCGCGGCCCTAATGGCCTCGTCGAATTTTCTCTAGTATTTCTTAGGCTGCAAGGCAGCGCCATCTCTTTGCATTATTAGTAGGTCAGATTTAAAAAAAAAATACGAGCTATCTTGGTAGTTACTCGTCGATGTTGAAAGTTAAAGAATCTTTTTTTTATCTATTTTGTTATTAACACGTAGCGTCATTGAGGCAATAGGTATTGATGATAAACATTATATTGCAATAATTATATATTACAAAATATTATCATGTATATCATTCGGATGAGGCAATGGGGTCAATGTTTATTTACGTTTTGAGAGATATGGAATTCATATTGTTGCTAATCACAAACCAATATGTAAATAAAGTGTAGACTTTGTTTTAATATACTGTGGCGGCGATATCTATATGCCTCAAATATATCCAACTGATGGAGGAAATATCACTCGCCTCCTCAAGAGATGGCGCTACCGACGCTGCGATCAATACGTATGAAAACCTACATCGCGCAAGTGAAATTCGGATGCTAACACTTCATATATACAATGCCCGACCATCAACAGTCGGGCCGCGGCCCCCGAGCTGGGTGATGGTAGCTCCTCCCCTTTGGCCTTCCTACAATACTTTAGCTTTGAAAAATCAGCCTATTAATATCCCCACTGCTGGGGCACGGCCTGTATGGATAGAATAGGAACAACAGGCCATGATCTAGCACGGGGGCCTAGTGCGGATTGGTGGGTGCTAACGACTGCAGTTTCAGCCAGACCAACAGCTTAACGTGCCTTCCGAAGCAAGGAGAAGCTTTCTTTAAAGCTACATTTCTTTAGGGCGAATGCAGCGCAGGGTTACCATATAGAAATATAAAAATACCCAAAAAAATTTTAATTAAGATAAGGAATGCATGTGGGAGTTTGTTGCATGAAAAAGCTATGTATAGTTAACTTTTTACTATAAAGGGGATTGATATATTATAAATGCATTTTTCATCATTAGTTAACATGGATCATCATACTTAATGAATCAATAATTTGATGGCAGCTATGAAACCCGTCGTTTGTGAGTTCGACTCGCATTTGACCGGTAGTAAAGTTAGCTTTATCGTTCACAATTTAAACCAAGTATGAAAGGATTGTAAAAATTGCCCTTTCATTGGCTGCTTGTATAGTGACAATTTATGGACAGTTTCGATCTGACATTAAGCAAAATTCGACTTTAATTACATAGCTATATGAGAGCGGTTAGTATAACTCATGTTATTAAAGAAAGGAAGTAAGTAGGGCATTCAGTTTCTCTAGCGCCTTACTAAGAGCAGCTTGTGTGAGAGGGACAGAATGTATTACGTCGTCATTTATATAAATATTTCCAACACTCACACCAATTAGCCTAGCCCCAAAGTAAGCACTGTAAGGCTTGTGTTATGGGATACTCGGATAACGGATAGAGTACATAATATACTGTACATATATTGGTATATTTATATAGAAACTAGCTGACCCAGCGAACTTCGTACCGCCATAAAAAAAAATTAAAAAAACATTGTCCAGCGGACAAAATTGTGAATCTAAACCATTCTCAGATCCCCTTGAACACACACAAAAAAATTCATCAAAATCGGTCCAGTCGTTTAAGAGAAGTTCAGTGACATACACACTCACAGAAGAATTATATATATAAAGATACCTACATATTAAACATCCATGACTGGGGTACAAATGCTCGTATTCATCACACAAACATCTGCCCCACACCGGGATTCGAGCCCAGGACCTGTCAAGTAGGCGACACCATAAGACCCGGCGTACAAACCTTTCGGCGATGGAGGTGGTAAAATTTACGATTCCTTTCTTTAATGACAAAAGTTATAAGTGTTTTTAAATCCTCCATTTTAAAACTCAAACACGCGTCTGTTAAAAGCATGAATTATTATCATTGGCTCGTAACTCTAAACAGCCGGACTACGTTTTGAATGAACTTCGACTACCATATTGCAGTTTAGATGCAGATGACAGCAATGAACAGGGCCGGATTTAGGATTGTGGAGGCCCCGGGCCACTTGTTAACCCATCGAAATTTTGTTATCTTTTATCCTGTTGTGGAGGCCCCGGGCCACATAGGATTTGCATGCTTGTTGACCCATCGAAATGTTGTTATTTCTTAAGCTGTTGTGCAGGCCCCTGGGCCACAGCCCCACCTGCCCTGCCTTAAATTCGGCCCTGGCTGTAGGTAAAGGTAAAAGAGCAAAAAAAAATATCAAAGGAAAAGATGTTTACTAGTGTTTACTAGTTGGAATTTGAAAGATTTTTTTTTCCGAAGTCTCTATTGTGGGGGCCCCCCGTTTGTGGAGGCCCCGGGGCTTTCGCCCCGGTTGCCCTCCCCTAAATCCGGCAGTGGCAATGAAACTGCCAATTGTCAGTCGTAACAACGATCGCGGCACGTAACTCTAGCGCTGAAAAAAACGCGTCAGGGATAGTTGCGCATGGGTACGACTGGAGAGCCAATCGGCGCAACGCACGCCCACCCGCGCACCTCGTTTCCCCTCAACACGTCTTAATTTTTACTTCTGCGCAATCACGGTCAGCGCTAGTTTCGTGCCGCGACCAATGATATTAAATACCCTAGATACACCAACACGAACTAAAACATGCCCGAAACCTGTCCACAAGGTACATTTGGACGATCCATGGAGGTCCGTTAGATGGTCGCGTATAAACAATATAAAGCATTACTTTAACATTGAAAATCACCTTTAAAGCAAACTGTATAAGGTCTTAATTAATATGCACGCGTCAAAAAATTATGACAGTCCGATATGTGACCTCGTAAAATTTTACGACTTATTGCTATATGCAGAAGAATAAAGACCTTATTTCTTTGATTCTACGCGCAATTCTGAATGCGCTGTTAATAATATAGCAGGTACGGTCTGCGAGGAAAAGAGACAGCTATATTATCGACCATGCATTTGAATATCACAAACATTTTCTATTAAATCAGTTTATTGTAAGTATTAAAACAAAATTTACTTCAAATGCGTTACAAAAAAACATTGATTAGATACCTGTCGAAAAAACCGACATTTTACATAACATTTTTTCACCTGTTTTCACGGAGCTCAGCGGCATGTTGACTTTTCAACGGTCCGCGCGTGACTGTGAATCAAGAAGTGCTTGAGTCGTGTTCAAGCACTTCTTGATTGGGATACATTTTGAGCGCACGTGGTGTATCTAGGGTATTTAATAGCGTTGGCCGCGACTTATACTGCACGTCTACTGCATTTGGACTGCACGCTTTATTGATAATATCATTACAGTCGTGCTAACTGCATTGTTACTGCGATTCAGCAGTCGCAAGTGTAGTTTAAACGCAGTCCGTTCTGTAGAGACTGAAACATTATCAAAACTTCAATGAGAGACACATTATACGAAATACTTAAATAAAATTGTGGGCAGCAGTTAAAATGGGCGAAAAAGAGATGACAATTAAGTCGCTTGGTTTGCACTTAACTCACGTGCTGTCATAAACAACTTCGTAATTTTTTTACATGATTGCCATAGTGACCTTGAGTTTTCGTACTGTAAATATGCGAATCCAAATCTATATATATATAAAACTCAAAGGTGACTGACTGACTGACATAGTGATCTATCAACGCACAGCCCAAACCACTGGACGGATCGGGCTGAAATTTGGCATGCAGCTACCTGCTGGGGGTAGAATTGATGCCTACGTCATAACATCTACATGTTATGACGTAGGCATCAATTCTACCCCCAAGGGGATAAAATAGGGAATGAAAGTTCGTATGAAACTTTGTCAATTTTAAACCGATCGGGCTGAGACTTTGCATGCAGGTATAAGAAGAATCATAGATGAATGTCATTTTGTATAATACAAGCCTGTGAACAAAAACTGTAGTCTACACTTCAGCTCTACACCGTAGCGAAGCGAGGGCGGGCCGCTAGTATACAATATAGACCTTTAAAATGCGTGATACATATAAAAATAAACCGTGTTTTCTGAAATATTATAATTTTATTAGAGATCGGATAATTGGATGCATATTTATTTATTTATTTATCATGAACAAGTTTTTTAACAATTTATCTAAAGGTCATTTTGCTAACAAATTATGGAAGCGGTATCTTAGGACATTTTTATTATCAACTAGCTGTGCCCCGCGGTGTTCTCCGCGTTTTATTGGATATTTTCCCGCAGAAACGAACTCCATACAAAATTTAATTAAAATCGCTCCAGCCGTTTAGACGTGAAAAATGAAACAAACATACAAACTCACAAACTTTCGCGTTTATAATATTAGTGTGATAAAATCCCGGGACTCCGGGATCGCATAACTAATCGGATGTATATTTACGTTAAATTTTAGTTTTTCATTAGAGTATGTGTGTAATATGTAAGCTAACAAATAATGGAAGTAGCTTCTTAGGACATTTTTATTATAAATAAAATCCCGGGACTCCGGGATCGCATAACTAATCGGATGTATATTTAAGTTAAATTTTAGTTTCGAGTATGTGTGTAATAGTACAGTCAATCTGTAGGTTGAGTGGTGAAAAAAAACCTAAAGGGTAAGTCTTGTTTTTTCTGTTGCTAAATGACGTCAGTAAGCCACCTTGGCGATGGGCATGTTCAACTCGTAGGCGTTTTTTGAAAATCTCAAAAAAACCCTCAAAATTTTTTGAAACGCGTTTTTCTTGTTTTGTATGCATTTTAGAAACTTTTTTTTCGACCATAATTGTATCGAAAGTTGTTGGTAATTATATACGAAACAACTTTTCCATTTAAACTTTTCCATTAAAACGATATTTTCAGGGTGAAAAAGTGAAAAAACACTTTTTTTGAGACTTTAGCGCCACCTACAATGCGCGTTTTTTGTTGTACGAGATTGCAACAATGACATAAATTGTAGTACTCAACGCCCTCTACAATTATGGTCGAAAAAAAAGTTTCTAAAATGCATACAATACAAGAAAAATGCGTTAAAAAAAATGTTTGAGGGTTTTTTTTGAGTTTTTCAAAAAACACCTACGAATTGAACATGCCCATCGCCAAGGTGGCTTACTGACGTCATTTGGCAACAGAAAAAACAAGACTTACCCTTTAGGTTTTTTTTTCACTGAAACGATTTTTTTTCGACAGATTGACTGTAGTATAATATGAATGGGTAAGATAAATGGTTAGTAAGAAAACATAAATGAATAAAAAATATTTATTCATTAATGACATCTTATACAATATTGTTATGTTATACACACAGGGCAAATATCATTTATTTATTGACATTTCGCATCCTTTGAAAAATGCGTCGTCTGAATAATGGAAACTTAAGAAAACATAAGAAACAAAAATGTCGTTTATGTCAAACTGGGTTTATTAGATCTCAAGGAGTATACACTAAAAATTTAGATATCCCGGAATCGTGGGATTTTTTCGATAAAAAAGTGCTTCCTATAATAGCCAACATCGCAACTTTAGATAAATATGCATCCGATTATCCGATCTCTAATTATAATAGAGAATCCAAAGTTCTTTGAATGATAGAAAAAATAATCGGATGAAATAGGCAACGCTGTGGTACCACCTATTTATTATTGGGCCCCCCACGACAACGGCTAACTAGAGCTGAGGTCCGAGTCTCAGAGACGCCCTCTAGTTGAGCCGACCCCCACAGGTTCGAGTGGTCTAGAGGCTGTACGCGGAGAGGAGACTCCCCCCGTGGGGAGAAGCTTTTTTCCACCTGGAATATCTCCAGAGGCACTCGCCAATTCTCGGCTTGAGGTCCCCTTAGGATCTCGCCGTCCCCAAACCCGGTGACGCTGTAAAGGTCATCTGCGACCAACAGCATACACACTCAAAAAAAAACTATTATTGGGCAGGTCTAATGGTAGTAATACATAACTGTTAGTTTACAAAAAAACCCCAAGTATTAATTTTACAAAAAAGAACCATAAACTGCAAAATAAGTAGCGGCGTCATAGACAATAAAATTGTTATTTACAGACATGCAACCATGTTCTCGCCAATGTTGCCACATTGGAAAACGAAAAGTATAGATACCATTTCCATGGGACTTATGGATAAAATATTACTGTTATTCCCGTATTCTTGGTGGCCTAAGAGTAGTACTTTCTTCGCGTTCGTTTGGAGGAGAAGTGAGAAGAAGAAGATAGAAGAGAGAGACAGATGGGTGACTCAGATATTTGGAGTCAGCACCCCCTTAGGATCTGATAGAGCAATGACAGTTTGGACTAGTGGCGACGCAGCCAAAACGGTAAGTGGGTATTCACCTCGAAACGAGAACTAAATAATTTTTGTTTTTATATTTCCAACACTTACACCAATTAGCCTAGCCCCAAAGTAAGTACTGTAGGCTTATGTTATGGGATACTAGGGTAACGGATAGAATACATATACTGATACATATATAAGTATATTAATGTAGAAATACATATTTCAACATCCATGACTGAAGTACGAATGTTCGTATTCATCACACAAACATCTGTCCCCACCGGGATTCTAACCCGGGACCTCTCGTGTAGGCGACACCTTGGAACCCGGCGTACATACCACTCGGCCACGGAAGTCGTCAAAATCATTGAAGTAATGCAATGACTTCAGCGTACATTGCCGCGTAGACTATACGTATTACCCAACCAGAAGGTATAAGTGGCGTGTTGGCAGGTTGCATTTAACATTAGATCGCGTTTTGATTCGGTGTCGTAAAATAACCAAGGTATCCACAAGGCGTACAGCCAAAGATATTATATTTGTCTCTTTATGGTCTAAATGTAAAAATAAGATAACTGAAGAAATTTTTGTAGGAAAATGTCCACGCAAACACGAGACATTTTGAAACATCTAGCAGTTAAATGCTTAGAAATACAACTATAATTGCTATTTCTTCTTTTAAATGTTTAATACCTGTAAAGGTATCGATTTTACATTGTGGATTACCTAAAATGCGAAGAGATGGCGCTGCCTTGCGGCCTAAGAAATATTAGAGTAAAAGTAAGTTTTTAATAAGTACATTGTAAAAGTTTCTTACGAAAAAAAAGAAAAATTATAAAATAGTCATCTGCTAGTAAACATGTTGTCCAAGTGACATTACTTTGTACTATTTGACGTTCCAATGAGAGCCGTGAGACGTCAACTGCCTTCTTAGCTGAAGGAACAATACCGCGGCATATTTGAAAATGTATGTTCCTTTCCTTTTTTTTATTTTATAAATATTCACTTTTATGGAGGCACTAATATGCTAATAAATACCTCAGCGTGCGTTAAAAACCAGAGGAGAGGGTATAAACGTTTTCAAAAAAATGTCAAACATTCTATTAAAGAAAACTAAACTTACAGCTACGATAGGTGGTGCTGCAGTTAAGATTTTTTTTTATATATTTTTACATTGACATTTTGGGTTCTTTATTTAATAAAAAATGTAGTTGAAAATAAAAATTTGTTAAATCTAAAATTCATTTCAGTTATATCATAATAAACATGCCGTAGGATGATTTAATAAATATAATTTTCGTGAACATCCTAAGGATTTCGCGAAAACGCGGATAATTAGACATTAGCGATGACATTTCTCAGTCTTACTGAAAAAAGATAGGATTTTTGCGAAAACGCGAGTAGCCTCTGTAAGATTGCGAAAAGAATCGTTGGCGAGATATACATTAACAACTGGTTTATTATTTTGACGCATGAACTCTTGTAATATACCAAACCTAAACGTAACCTAATCATATAATTTATTTTCCTGGGATATTATTTAGACGCATGAACGCTTTAGTAATATACCAAACCTGAACCTAACTTAATCATATAATTTATTTACCTGGGATATTATTTTAATGCATGAACCTCTTGTAATATACCAAACCTAAATGTAACGTAATCATATAATTTATTTACCTGGGATATTATTTTGACGCATGAACTCTTGTAATATACCAAACCTAAACCTAACCTAATCATATAATTTATATATAAACCGCACCAATAAAGAAACGAATCAAAAATGGCGTCTATGTACCTGCACTGACAGATGCTAGGGTCAACAAATAAAAAGAAAGATAGAAAGAAAAAGTTGTTTATTAGGTAATTTCGAGACAGTGCGAGAACAAAGTCAGAACTGATATTTTTTTGCATGCTGTACGCGCCGTGTGCGACTAAAGACAGCAATAGTTTAGAGTGAGAGCGCATGATCGCCGCCGCCGTCATTTTAGATTCTTTTCTTTATTGGCGCGGTTTATACCTGGGATATTATATTGACGCCGCATGATAAGTAATAAATGACAATTACTTCTAAATAGTATGCTATGCTACTATACATGCAAGAGACCTTAGTATTGATTGCTTCAATGAATTGATATCTAATTTCTTGTCACTTGTAAAATTATTGGGTTTTGTAGAATTTGGTTTTTCAAAACTCTTTTGTCTAGGGTGTTGTCTGAACCAAAATGTTAAGTTCATGTTCCAATAAATTCAAATCAAAACAAAAATCATTTATTCGGCATTCCACTCATAACTATTAATTATTATTTAGTGCAATGTGTTTGCAGATAGAAACATTACCAGAAGATGTAGTTAAAAGGAAAACAATGGAGTTGCTCAGGCGATTCATGGGAGCCAACGTGACTGTTCCAGAGCCCGTGGAGATGATCAGGTAATATTTTTTTTGAGTATTTGACTGTCTTGTTGTTTGAAATCTATATCTATACTATTATATAAAAAGGAAAAGTTTGTGAATTGTGACGTTTGTAGGGTGTAATCTCTTGATCTACTGAATTGATTATGAAAATTGTTGAATTTAAAAAAAATACTACGAAGTGTCCCAATCTAGGAAAACCGTCAAATGAAACGTCACTATTATTTTTTTACGAGTATGAGGGAGATAGCAAGTGTCTCCAATCATATTTGTATTTTACTTAATAATGGTTGACTTATTCTATAATTTTTTTTTGCTCGTGAAGGGATATTATTTCATTTTCGTATAATTGGTAGGTTTCGATCCCCGACAACAAATTTTTCAATATTATTTCATTCATTTTGGTAATTTGCCCGTTTTTTCTCACCAATTAAGTTATGCCCATAACTGGTGTTAGAAAAAAAAATGCCCATACAAACAATATTGTTTCTTTTATGTAGATTGTATCTTTTTTAAAGTAAAACTTTTTGCCCATATCTTTTATTGGCAACTAAAAATATACCCAAACCTGGTTATTAGAAAAAAATACAGTCCAATCAAATGTTTTTTTTTGCATTGTCTAGGTCTTCCTGGTACACGAATCCTTACACCCGCGGTAGTTACACATACGATCACATAGACTCCCCCCTCCATCCGAACGCGCGCGCGGACCTAGCTCAGCCAATCACAGACTCCGCTGGGGTCCCACGAATCCTATTCGCTGGCGAAGCGACGGAAGCTACCCACTTCAGTACCGTGCACGGTGCGGTGGACAGCGGACGTAGGGAAGCGGCGAGATTGTTACCGAAGAGTAAGATTTAATGATAAAAAAATAATCCCAATAAATAATTGTACAAAAACTATAAAATACTTTTTGAACGGAAGCCTCGTGTGGGGGCTATAACTCTGTATAATTGTTGTGATAATTGGAATTAAATCATTATTATTTATTTATTTTATTCTTTATTACCAAAATACTGTACTAAAAACAGTAATGGCGGACTTAATGCTATAGGCATTATCTTCCAGTCAACAAGTAAGGGTGAAGGTGACGAATGTTATTATTACTATTCTTTCAATTTATGCTTGGAGATGATCAAGTATAAAGCAAGTTAATATGTTAGTTTTTTTATATTACTTTTGACACGGAATGTTATAAAACGCGGTTTTTATTTATTTCATATTGGCAAGAAAATTGTTATGAACTATATAGCCGTTCAAAAAGTATTTTCTTTTAATGATTGATGTGCGTGATAACTAAATAAATAAATAACAAAAATAATTGTTGATTTTATTTTTTTTATTATTTTGAGTGTATAACTGTGTGTTTATATTATTGGTTGTCAACTTCTATTCACGAGTAGGTATGTACGAGTTGTAGTGCACGGTATTCTAAAACATGTTGTGTTAAAACCCATATAAATTAATATGGTTTGAAACGAACGAAAAAACGAACTACTCAAGCTACAGCTTGTACTTCTGTGTCATTTATATAATTGCCAAATATACATTCTGTAATCTATTCTGGTATGAAGTATGTTACTTTTCTGCTGAATTAACAAATGTGTTTAACATTTACTTTTTAAGATTAAAGTTATTTTATTTCAGCGTACTGTTATGTACGGATAGGGTTACCATCCTTCCGGATTTGTCCGGACATGTCCGGTTTTTTTTTAATTACGAAATATGAGTTAAACTACTTATTAAGTTATATCAAATAAGTCAAATAATCCTTATTATGTTCTCATTAATTTAAAACAAAATATAAATCATCTTTAAAAATCAACAACGAGACCCCCCCTCACGATGCGAGCGTCTGCTACCACGCGTATAATATCACTGTATCTAAGTGGGTGATTTTAAATTTGTGACTAAAATATCCGGACTTTTATCGAAATGTCCGGCTTTTTGTCAGGACTTTTCAAAATTTTAAATAGTAACCCTATGTACGGATGACAATTTATCACCAAATGTTATAATTCTGCAATGGATTTTGAACTATAATCCTGATGACTAAGGCTGAAAATCGATTCAGATATTTTTTTACAGTCTGAACTTTAGTATAGAGTTACAAGGATCTTTATGTATGTGACAAAACTTTTAACTAAAAAATCATAGGACAGAACAGAATTGTCACTCTCACTTACATTCATGAATATCCCTGTTGCACAGTATGTTTGTTTGACATGCATTTATTTTCCTTTGTAGAATATAAATAAACTGGTGACGATGATATTTTTTTAAATAATATATTTTAAGTAGTTTTCAAATCAAAATGGATTTTATAGAGATTCGTCTTTACACATAAAAAGTAGGTATAATATAAAATTTACCTACCACATTAATAACTGGGTGCATACATAGGGGTCATCACAGTCTGTATGTTACACTAATTTCGTGATGTTTATACCTTCCCCGCCCTTGACACAGTTGGTCACATTTGTGACTCCCTAACTAGTGTGACGTCACATATTTTGCTTAAAGAAATGATTATATGGGTCACCTACAATGTGAAGAGGTGGCGCTGCCTTGCAGCTTAAGGCTAGGAAAATTTCGACGCGGCCATCAGGGCCGTGGTAGCA